ATCTGCGCGTCGGCTAAAGATGAGTTGGAGAATGATGTTGGATATCAATTTGAGAACTATGAATTTCTCCAAGGTTGGAGAAATGTTTTTTTGGTGTTTATTGGGTATTATCACCCTGCATACTGCACACATACATTAGTAATTGCATTTTGTTAAGTATGTATGGTGCATTTATGGATTTAGCTGAATATACACAAGGAAACTTGCCTTGACTACATGTCAAGTATGACATGCCATCGCATGGTGGATAGCCGGGTGTGCACACTAAATTTTAGGTATGCATATACCGTCGCCTCGGTAAAAGATTGTCGTAAGCGCCATTTGGACGATTTTTAGCTCTAGTTGCAGTTATATATTTTGAAATAATGTCTTTCGATTGGTGTTATCAGTTTTTAGATATCTCCTTTAGTTTCCGAGATGTTGACTACAATTTTTTCGATAATTTAGTAAAAATTTAGTTAGTGATGCAGCTATATTAAACTGATCAATATCTTAAAAATGGCGTTCTCCATTTTTGGATATCTCCTTTAGTTTCCGAGATATTGAGTAAAAAGTGTCGTTAATTTGGTAGAAATTTTGATCACATTTTGTCGTATTTCATACAAAGTGGCTGCCAAATTGTGGACAAATGACGCTTACGATAAAATTTTATTAAAGAAAATCCTTCATAAACTCAAAACTAATTAACAAAAAACATTAAAAATTAAATAATTTAAGAATTTTGTGAACCAGTAACATTTTCAGAGACTTTGGAGAAAATCTATCTTAGCGTTTTTGAGAAATTACATTCCAAACTTCAATCGCGATTTCCCACAACCTGCCGAAATTAACATACGACAATCTTTTACCCAGGTGACGATACATGTATGATGAATTTGAAGATGAAACCAAAGACGATATCTACGAGCCAAATTGATAATTATTATGTCAATTTATTTCTTTAGCTTTCGGTGCTAATATTTTTCAAATAGATATCGTCTTTGGTTTCATCCTCAAATTGAAAAAAAAATCCGAGCGTAAAACAATTTTTTTAATGTATGATGAAAATTGAAAATTTTCAATTTCTGTGCTTTTTGTTGCGACAGGTCTGAAAGGTTTATAGTACGCAATGCAGACATAAAGTCATATTTGTATAGAAAATTATAAACCCAGCAAACATTTGGATTCACAAATATGTCATTTAATATAATTTTTTAAAACTGGTTTCGCATTATAACTTTATTAAAGACTATTTCGTGCAAAAAAAAAGAAAAACAAGAAATCTTTAACATAGGAGCCCATGCAAAACCGTGTAAACGACTTATTTATTTATAAGGATAAATCATTAAAATAACAAATTCTAATAGTTTTAATTTTTTATTAGTACTTTGATGTAAATTCATATTTAATAAAAATACGAACACATACATATATATGTGTATGACGGAAGCTTTGGGGAAACTTTCCTTTACGGTCTGTCGTTGTATGCACGGTGTACACCTGCCACACCCCATTTTAGAGGGGGCATAAACCGCCCTTATAAGTCCCTAGGGAGCCCTGTTTTTGAAGGCCAATTTTGACATGCGTTTTCGCTTTTTTTTAGTAGATAAAGGCACTCACTTGAGCCTTTCCGTGTTGCCGGAGAGGAGTGGGTCCACCAAACATAAGCGCCGCGCTTAGGGATTATAACCGATGCTAAGTAGAATTCTCCTTTCCGTGTTGCTGGAGAAGAGGGGCCTCTCTTCCTTTTGTTAAATGCAATCCATGTGCTACGTCTACATGTGATAAATAATAATTTTGGCTAACCCTTATAAGTGAAATAAAAGAGGCCATATAGATTTATGTCCCGCAATTGAGGATATTTCGACATTAATAATAAAAGTACTTTTAAACAAAAGTTAGATCCTTTGGTCACGTATGCAAGTGATAAACCTAATCCAATCTGAAACTTTTGCAGATTGTTTATTGGAACAAATGGTGGTAGTATATTCGCAAAAAAAAAAACTTTGAATATGACTCCATAATGAGCCATATGTGAGGACAATAAAATTCCACTATGACTAATTTGCGGTTCTAAATGTTTGCTGGGAAGAAGTAGATCGGCATGCCGTGATGTTCGCTCACTTCAACGATTACGACGAAATGTAGTTTGAACAACGCGTCGGATAGGTGCATACCGAACTGACATGCAATCCAGTATGCATACAAGTCTGATTGTGTATATTCTGCTTTTCTGAAATACATTTCAGTTTTTCTGAAATACATTTTAGTTTTTCTGAAATACATACATTTGGAGTTTCCTCAAACCCATTTCAATTAATTTCAATTTCGTAAATACATTTCTGCTTTTATGAAATACATTTGCATTTTCCTGAAACACATTGTGATTTTCTGTAACAAAAATGACCTCTTCTGAAATGGGTTTGTGTTTTTCTGAAAGGCATATTGAATATCAGAAATACATTTGCAGTTTTCTGAAACACATCTGAGTTTTTCTGAAACACATTTGAGTTTTTTTGAAATGCATTGGCGTTTCTCTAAAATTCAGTTGGAAAACACTTCATGAGCATCCTCTCAATGTATACTTAGAACGGAAGCTCCAATTTCTCGTGTGAACGCCCAAAAAGGACTTTTTGTCATTTTTCGAAAATGAATGTCAGAAATGAATGTTTTTTCCAACGTCTAACAGCAAATAATATGTAGATTGTTCAGTATCAGAAAATGTGTCTGTTGGAAATCGGACTTTCCCCTTGCAGTGTTGGCTACCTACATTCTAAATATGTAAACGTAAAGTAGCTATTCACACCTTTCTGGCTATCAGACTAACTGATTATAGATTGATTGCGCAGAGCATTTAATTATTTCAGACTGAATTAAAAATATTGTCACTTAAACCGATAACCCGACAGGTGTGGATGGCTACATAATCGCCGTTATTTTGTGATTTGTCAAATTTTATTAAGAATAACGTTTAATATTATTTTACTGTTACTTATCATTAATAGCCCCATGTTCATTGCGGAAACTTTTCATTTTATCCGAGTTCAATATATTCTTCAAAGACAGCCGCTTCAAGACGCCACACAATAACAAAACAGAACAAACTAATTGTAGTACATAGTTATTACTTGAAATGGATTTGCTTTCAAGACGTTTAATTATATGTAATTGGGTTTCAAAATGGACATGGGTATACAAAACATGGGATATCAATGCGAAAATAAGTAATACGTATTAATAAAAGTCTTGTTAATAACAACTTAATAATATCGGCATACATACATATAAATAACACCAAACAGTTATAATCAATCAATCGCGTATTTAATAATATGTATGTATACAATGTACATATGTAGATTAAACAATCGCTTGCGCGAGCATCAATGGAATGTGCCAAGATATAGTTTACATTTAAATTTAATTTTTTGTATAATTAATGTTAAATACTTTTAGACAAGTATGCATGTAGCTTTTATATTTGCTCCGTGGCAATAGTTTAATTCATATATTTGTGCAAAAAGAATCTGAAAATCTGTTCTAGCTGCCAAAGTTAAGGCTGAGTTATGCATTCGTAGCATTACACTGTCTATACAAACATCACTTGTGCAACATAGTCGTGATTATACTTCACGTGCAACAATCACACAAATTTGACCGCTCCTATTGTGGCACTTTTGAGATCGTTAAGGATACATAACTCAGCCCTAAGCTAAATAATCGCTGCCAAAACGGCCCTTAGGTTATGCGCTGACGATTCAAACGCTCTGCATTTTTTGTTTAAACAAAAATTATAAATTCAACACCAAAAATCCCTGGCGTTTGGGTAACATGCGAACCAACTCAAATCCAAAAAAATGATCGGATGTCAGCGCAAAATGGGTGAATTCCTGAATGTAACAAGCAGAGACAGTAACGGTTATGCTAAAAAAAAATAATAATAATCGTTATTTTTTTCACCGATATGTTTTCAGTCAAAAATAAAAGTTAAGATAAGACTTTTATTTTTTCGGTCAAATATAAAAGTTAAAATATGACTTTTATTTTTTTCGGTCAATTATAAAAGTTAAATCTGACATATTTTTTGATCAAAATAGCAGTTTACATATTCACAATACAATATGTTTTAATAATAAATGCACATACTTTCATTTACAGTTTTCTATCTTCTGTAAATTTATTATGGGTATTCTTGCAAATACGTAAATGCCTCGTAACCGTGTAAACCTCGTAAACTTCATTTTGTATGGAAAATATCTTTATTTACGAGATTTACGCAGTTACGAGGCATTTACGCGTTTCCATGAATACCCATAATATATTTACAGAAGATAGAAAGAGACTGCAATTGAAAGGATGTGCATTTATTATTAAAACATATTGTATTGTGGATATGTAAACTGCCATTTTGACTGAAAAATATGTCACTTTTATAATTGACCGAAAAAATAAATGTAAAATTTTAACATTTATATTTAACCGAAAAATTGAAATTTTGAAAATATATAACTATTATTTTCGGTCCCAGGTAACAAGCAATTGTCAAGCAAAAAAAAACACGACTTCAATTCATACAAATATCTAAAAGAGTACCGTTAATTTCTCCTTGATCCAATGATCGGATCTTAACCAAATTAGTACGGGACCACCTCCCGAGGTACCACCTTTCCATAAAAAAAAAATAATTATAGAAAACGGTTAAGTGGTCCAAAGTTATGCGGTAACATACATACATATGTACATAAAGAAGTATTCCGACGAATTGATAACCTCATTTTTACAAGTCGGTGAAAAATACCAATAAACATCAGTAATGAAAAATATGCGCAACCAAGGTTAGATACTAGTTTTCAACTAGGTTGTGCAAGTTAGATCTTTCCTTCTAGTGCGGTTTAGAAATAAAGGTCTGATGCCTTGTATTTTTACATTTAGGAACTCACCCAGCGTAAGGATTCTGGTTAAACCAATTTGAAATACTTTCATGCGCCTGAAACCTCTTCTGGAGGATCTATGTAGTTTCGCTTTGATGGAATTATTAGGACTACCTGTATGCAAAATACATAAAATAAATTAGTGCAGCCGCTTTATTTGTTGCTATTTTCTGTGACAATATAAAATAGTTCCGATTTCGCTTATCAGGGTTTAATCATTGCGCATGTGTACAACTGCAGGCTTACTGACTTTCAAAAAGATTCAACGGCTTCTAATCGTTTTAGGTGAAGCGCACGGAATTCTTGAATACCAGATATCATTTGAATTCACCCAACCCAGTTTATTTTGCTAATTTCCTTAAGCATTTTATATAGACATAAGTTTTTTTTGGTTAGTTTATGTGAAAGATCATAATTATAATCGCAAAGCGAAATCTACATACATATATGATCAGTTGGTAAAAGGTGTGAAGACAAAAAATAAATAAAAATGCTTCAGCAAAACAAACTCTTTCAAAGTAATTCCTCTGTATAGCAACAGCAACACCATTGGAAACAAGCTAATAGTTCAGCTGTGTACGATGTGTCAGCCTACATTTAATTTGCCTCAAGTGAACTTGTTCAAGCGATTAGGATGCGAGCGATAACGGTATATGTATTCTGCCGTAAACTTCTTAACTTATCTTTGTAACCATCAAATACTTAAATCGTTATATCACCATACTCTTGTGACCATTTTTCATATGAGTTCAAACTCTGCGATGCAACAGAACGTCGAATTCGCTTTAGCGAGTTATGAAAATCATTTTCGGTTATTGGACGCATTGCACTAATATCCAAGCATTTGACTTGTTCCATGTTGAGCTCCCGGATTGGTTCGAGGGCTGCATCCTTTGCTAAAGCTGTTAGGTCTGAGCCTGAGTATCCTTCTGTTAGTTTTGCCAAACGACGTAAGGCCTCTGTACCCAGCGGACTGCCTTGTTTTTCCAATAATCGGCTTAACAATAGCTCGCGTGTATCCATGTCTGGCAGTGAGACATAAACACGCTTGGTAAAACGTCGCAAAGCTGCTTCATCGAGCTCTTGTGGCCTATTTGTGGCAGCCAACACGACAATACGATCACCTTCGGGATTTCCCGGCAGACCATCGAATTCAACTAAAAATTCCGTTTTAAGACGTCGTGAGGCCTCATGTTCGTTACTACTACGCTCTGATAGCAGCGAATCAACTTCATCTATGAAAATAATAGATGGCTGCATTTCACGTGCCACTGCAAAAAGTGCGCGTACTAACTTTTCACCATCTCCTACATATTTGCTGGTTAGAGAGGCGGCGGAAATATTTAAAAATGTCGCACTACATTCTGTTGCTACAGCCCGTGCCAATAGCGTTTTACCATTGCCTGGGGGACCGAACAAAAGAAGACCTTTAGCGGGTGCGCGTAGTCCTATAATAGTGAATACCTGCAGCATTAATGCCAGATTCTTTTCATTATTTCGTTAAGCGCATATTTACCTGTGAAAAGCTCAGGACGTACGGAGGGTAAAATAACCATTTCCTGCAATGCTTGTTTAGCCACTTCCTGTCCAGCTATGTCAGACCATTCCACTTTGGCGCCTCCCTCTACGATTTCATCCAAAATTATTTGCACCAATTTTTGTTCTACTCCTTTAACAGTTACGGCAGGCGCGGAACCACTGCCACTACCTTGGCCACCATAGTTGGAACTTGAATTTATAGGTGTTCGAGCACGTTGGGGCGGCGTATTTCTACCAGATGTCTAAAAATATAGGAAATGATGCATTAAATTATCAGCAGACTTTAATAGGACAAATTCAAAAAAAACAGATTGTTTTTTTTTATTCTAAACTTATTTTTATCAAATTGTATTGAATAAGTCTGTCACTGCTGAGCAACATCTTAACTTCTCCGGACGAGTTTTTCCGCAGAAACGTGTTTTGAATATAACGCTGGCTCAAAAATCGATTTTTTCAACAATATCAACATCATTTGCCGTTATTTCAGTGGAAATTTAACAATCGATCTTTCAATTAATAAAACTTAGTACTTATACTTTTCCCTAGAAATGTGGTGAAAAACAATATTTATAAAACTGATATTCATAAGAGTCTCGTTCAAGCACGCGTGTCCCGCACAAAAAATTTCATTCCATTAACTTTTTGAAATACATACATACAAGGTAAATCGTCGTTTTCCGCGTATCAACAAAATGCGAAACCTCGTATTAGCAAAATGCAAAACCGCGTATGTGAAGTTGTAGAAACTATTTTCTAGAGCATAAACGCACTCATTTGTCAAAATGGTTCTCTTTTTTGCAGAATGACGACACGCGGTTTTGTACTTTAAACGACGAAATGTATTCTTAAACAATTTTGTTGGTTTAATTAACATAGATGTTAGTACTCCAAACGTTATTTTTGTTTGTTGTTGTTGTTAACCGACTTAAAAAAATGAGATGTATGTTAACGGATAACTTTGGTCATATGAACCTTTCTCGATAATTTTTTTTTTCATGGGAATGGCCACACCTCAAAAGTGGTCCCACAATTATTTGGTTCAGTTCCGATGATTGGATCATGAAAATATTAACTGTACAACTAAATTTGCGATTTTTTACCAGGGTCCGAAAATAACCATTAAATATCAAGATTTTTGTTTTTAGATCCTTGCAAAATTGTTATTTTTGGATTTTTACTTTTTCGGTCTAGAACAGTCGTAGAATTTTTAATTTTATTTTTTTGGCCAAGTTTAATCATTATTTTGCGATTTTTTTTTCAGTCAAAAATAATCCTTATTTTGGAGCTTTATTTTTTTGCAATCATTTTTTATGACCGATTTAAAGGTTTTATGATCTAAAAAATTTAATCTGAAAATCTATATATATAAATGCGAATGTCTGTTTGTTTATTACCTTATAATTTTTGAACCACGTTACGGAATCACACGAAACTTTGCACATTTATTTGGTTTTACCCCGGCAAGGTTATAGGATGGTTTTATTTGCAAGAATGTCGTAAATTTTGCAAGGGGGCGTGGCACCTCCCATAGGCCTGCAAATGTTTAATCAGCTATAACTTCGGAACCATACGTCGCATGAATTTGAAATTTGATTTGAAGTCATATCTATGGTAGTTACTTATGTTAAGGATTATATAAATGAGTTTGTCTAACAACGTGGGGCGAAACCCGCGGGCAAAAGCTAGTAATCTATAATATCAAAAAAAATATATATATTAATTATAAATTATAATTAAAGATTGATGGAAAAAATAAAAATCCAAAAATATTGGTTGAATCTGATGGGAAAATTAGAAATCCAAATTTAACCGTTTAATTATGATTTTTATTAGATTTGATCCACACGAGCCCGCGGGATCCCGCGGGTGCCCAAAACAGCCCAGAAAGCGTTCCTCACGCGAGAAAAATGGATAATAGAGAGCGAATACCTTCGACTTTTGGATCGTAAGTGTCTTCTTCTTCGTCTCCGAAACAGCCCGGTCTTTTTTGAGGCAGAAATGGGCAAGAAGTAAATTTTAAATAACGGCTGTTGTTTGTTTACATCCGAAAGCAAATTTTTCAAAATACAAAAATGGAAATTAGCACTAAAGTTTCAGAAATGTACAGTATCGGCCATATCTATAGCACACCATTTCAAAATGATATTGTGTGCCACTTATGTTTATTTATTTATTTTTAAGAAGAAGGAACGCAAAAAACCACATTTCGTGTCCGGAATTAACAAATCAACTCTAAACAATGATTTTATGTGTATTTATCTTATATAATAAAATTAACAAATACCTACTCTAGTCTAAAATTGAAGGGACTAAAAAACTGTGTACTCAAAAAAATTATAACACTTCCGAGAAAAAAGTTTGAAATTTAGTTTAAGATTTGTTGCACTTTTTTGTAGTTTTCTACAAATTAATAAACTCGGGTTTATATGGGGTTTGTCTGAGAATGAACTATATTTTAATTGAAAATTCTTAAAAATAAATAACTAAACATAAGTGGCACACAATATCACTTTCAAATGGCATGCTATAGATATGACTTATAAGATAAATACACATAAAATCATTGTTTAGAGTTGATTTATTGATTCCGGGCACGAAATGTGTTTTTTGCGTTCCCCACACTCTGGGCACTTTTAGCACGTGTTGACACATTTATAACACTTGTCAGAGCGTAACTTATTTTTACGCCCTAATTACCGAAACAGCCCGGAAAAATCATAACCGTTACTGACCCTGTTTTTTGCTTACAAATTATTTGTTTACCATTATCCTTAATTTCGTTGAAATTTTACATAACACACAGTAACTAAGATTCGTGGTAGACTAGAGCTCTCCCATTCAAACAGGCATTTTATTTTGTATTTTTCGTGCATACGCGACTATTTCTGTTTTTGGTTAGACCTTTACCATACAAGCGTAATGTTTCATCAACAATTTTTATTGAGTTTGAGGCCTTTTTTTATGAGTAGTTTACACATGGTAGAAGTTATAGCTGCTATTTCGAAGATCAACACATCTCCTCACCAAACTTATTCATCGAGTTCACTGGGACTTAAACCAGCAACTCCGGCGTTCAAAGCTAAGTTCGCTATGTAAGCTGTTGTTGCTTTTTTTAACATTCATTTATTATGCATATAAACGTAATGCTAATACTCACAAATTGTCTGCGCACTGCCGGTGGAGTGGCCGCAGTTTTGACCGGTTGTCTCTGTATTGCAGTGCTGCTCGCATTCTTCGACCCTAAGTTGCGTGGTAAAGTTTGAGACTTATTGATAACCGCCAGATTTCCTGGACGTTTTGAGCTTACTGTCAATTTGCGACCCGAAGCTGGAAAATATGGAAGGAAGGTATTGAGAGTGAATAAGCAAGATATAGATCATTTTCGAATTTACATACACACATACATATCGTCGATGTTTTTTGCAAAACCGCCTGTCCTACGGCACTCAAATTTTACAGGAGAGTGAAAAAACTTTTTATTCTTTGAAGGCATTGCCTTGATAGGCGGTATTTGCTCTAGCTATTATTTTACAAATCTTTTGTTTTAATAACGATTACCAAATCTCATTTTTGCCACAACAGTGCAATACAATACAAAAAAACTTTCAAGAGCTGAAAATCTTTGTACACTTTTGCTTTTCTAAAAGCAGTGGAAATTAGAGATTTTAAAAATTCCAAATGGCGGATCCATGTTTGATCTACCATTTAATACGGAAAAGTTAATATTGAACGTACGGACAAGGCGTATGAGTAACATCCTCATCTCATCTGAATAACTCATACGCAATGTATGTACATATTTATGTATGTCGTACGTTCGATTTTAACTTTTTCGTTATAAATGGTATGGATAGACCATTAAGAATTCTTAAAATGTGAGACCAGTTTTGAGTTCAGCAATGTTGAATACAAAAAAAAAAACAAAAATATCATGCTCCATTTTGGATCAGCAATTTTGAAATTTCAAAATTTGACACCAGGTTTGAATCCAACAACCAACCCCCAGAGTAACAAGTTTCGAGCAAAAATGTTGAACTAAAAAAAATCGTCCTCCGACACCAGATTTCTATTCAGCAACCCCAAAATTCTTAGAAAAAATATAATTTCATTTATTAGGCTTTATAAATTTTATTAATGATATTACTGTCCGTTCATTGCATCACTTCTACCGACGCCACCATATTGAATTTCCATAAAAATACAAACCTTTTCAGCCCTCGAACGTTTTATTGTATTGCGGCAATTTTTGACTTGGACCGAACCATATATGTATGTGTGTCCATATGTATGTATGTATGTATGTATAGCATTCATACATTTCGTAAATGCAAATTAAATTAACCCAAACGCTTAAAAATTACACCAGACTGGAGCGAATTCTCCCCCAATTTGAGAGGTCCTTATGTAAGTCTGTACATAATCCCCTTTTAATTTAACCCCGCTAAACGAGTTACCGCTTATTTTAACCAATAACTCAGTCCAAAAATCGATTATTCAATAGTTGCGTTTTTTTACTCATTTCCAGTAAAATCCAGTAAAAGTTTTTACGAATTTTCATGTTTTGACGTTTTCGTACGCAAAAACTTGCAAAGTAGGGAAAATTGAGAGAGCGAAAAATGACAGCTGAAGTTGCAAGTTTTTACTGGATTTTACTGGATAAATTTTTTCTTGTAAGAATTTGCCAGTACGAAAAACAGCTGATCGCATGTTGCTGTATGAAATTTAAACTAATAAGGAAACTGTTTGTGGATTTTTATTGTGGAAATTTTCAAAACAAACATATTTAAATATAAAATATATCGTTTTATTGGGAATATGCTGCGAATAAACAACCAATTTATCAGCTGTTCATGAAACTTGCAAATTATTACTGGAAAAGCGTTCGCGTACTTTTTTGCAAATTTTTTCTATGAGCGCGAATTCTTAGAAATAAAGTTACTGGAGAGTTACTGGCAAGTTACTGGATAATTTGTAAAAAAACCACAACTAAATAGGCTTACTCTGGTTAATGGTTATGCGAATAATTGAACAATTGGGTTAATTTTATTTGCACTAATTTCAGCTGGATTGGGTTAAGCCGAGTTGCGCTTGAGAATACATGTGCGGATGCTATATTTTTTTTTGGGGAATTTTCGGCAGTGATAAAACATCTAAAAATTCAAAAGAAAGCTGGTAGATGTTGCATAAAGTAGCTGTTAGACGTGGCAAAAGCAAGTCCTTTTCAAATATCTCTCAAACTCAAGAATTTCCAAGAGGTTACAGGAGCACTTACGCCTTGCAAGTAAAGTGGTTTTTAAAGCAAATTTTTTTTATTCCTGTAAATCAAACTTCCCTATACTACTCTTTGTCTGTTTACGCGGTGAATGCAGACAAGTCCACTTTCAACTATGTTGCCAAACATTTTTATGCTTATAACAAAATTAATGACCTGAAAATTTTACTAAACCTGCTAAAATGTGCACAAAACAGACATAAAATGTCGAATACTTAAATACTCCATATAATAGAATAAATTTGTTACACGTATTTTTCACATCTTATTCAACAATTTTTTTAAAATTCGCTAAAAAAAAGCGTTAGGCGGCAACACTCGATTGGTTTGACAGCACTTGCAGCAAAAATGAAAATTGCACGAGCAAGTTGAAATTATTTCTCGAATGCGATGTGCGTAATAATAGTTGCAGTTACACCTTGCAGTTTTTATTTCCGAAAGAGATTTCTGCAAATCTGCAAAAAGGACTTTCTGGCTGTTTACATGCTCGCATTGCCACGTTTAACCGCACCTTAAGAATAAATCTCTAATCGTTCCCACGACAGTCTGGTCTACGTTACCGGAATGACCCAGATTTATATCTGGCCAAGAATTGTCACTCCAGCAACACTCCCCAAAACCTCTTTGGGAAATTTGTATAATGTTACAACAACAATAACAAATAAAGCTTAAATGCAAATGAGTATAAATAAGCTAAAGCGGGCGGGTGCAAATGCTAGTAACTAAACCAGTAAATTTAAATTACTGTATAAAATTTAAATAAAATATTGAATGAAAGTTAGCGCAGCTGGGCTACACTAAGTAAATAAAACTTTTCTCGATTAATTTATAGTATAGTGTATGTACAGCTATGGACAAATAGCTTATTTATGTCCTGGATCTCATTCTTAATTTTAATCTTAAACAGAAGACGCGCTTCCCTTGCATCCCAATTGTCAGGTTTTTTTCGTAACGAAATCACCGCTTAAGATATTTGTCAGGTGAGTGTACGACAGGGCTTAACGCTATCCGATTTAGCAATCTTAGAAAGTTGCGTATGTGTTCCTAGCTTGAAAGAAAAAGTACGCAGCTACGAACAGCTAAGATTTCCTTTGGCTTATCACATTGGTTCGTTACTATTGATTTTCCCAACAGTGCTGCTACTTTCTTGAGGCATAAGTTATAAATTTATCACCGTTATCAATACACAAAATCCTATTTAGCATTATTTTGGAAATGCTTTTCACTTACCTGTTAGGGATGATTTACTTCCGGCAGCGCTGGTACCGCAGCTATTTGGTTTAAACCTATCCGAACTTATTTTACTATTTGATTTGAGATTATTTTGATAACTAGAGCAAGGTAACCGCGACTCAGTCTTTGCTGAGGGCAAACGTTTGGTGGCAGTAGTGCCATATACTGCGCCATTTACCACCATTGGTGACACCATCAACACCTTATTAGTGTGTGGTATATGGTCAGATTGCTTTGCTTCTGTTTCTGTGAGTTTTAGAGCATTTAAATTCAATTCTTCTTCACGTAATTCTGCAGAGGGGTGCACAAACATGTATGTACATGCATATACATATTAGGGTTATGAAATAAAAAAGAAATTAAGAAATTAATTAAGTAAAGACCATTATCAAAGCAAATAATATAAAAACATATAAAACATATGCATAAATGTAATAAAATTACGAAGTTTTATCGTTATTATAGCTCACCAAACAATAAAAGCTTATTAAAAGATTTCTAAACCCTATTTGCAGCAAAAAAAAATATATAAAAATAAATAGTGTAAATAACGGTTCATTGGAACGGTCGTTTCATTTACAAAAGCTTTACATTTATTATTGTTTATGCAGACTTTAGAACCCAACTTACCATTGGGGATGCGTTATTATGATACGTAGAACATATTTGCAATACAAAAGTAAACAAGTAATTTTTAAGCATAAAACACAACCGACTTCAATTCTAATATAAAAATTTAGGAGTACCGTTAATTTTTTCATGATCCAATGATCATAACATACATAAACCATAAATATATATATATATATATTCCGACGAATTGATAATCTCATTCATACATACTCAGGGAAAATAATAGCTTTAGATTGCCGTTATATAGGATAGAAGTGGACAAAATGAACATATTCTACAAAGGATTAAAGTGTTTTAACGAACTACCGCCACAAACAAGAAATTGTGAAAGCATTGCCAGCTTCCAGAGATCATTACTTGATCACTGTCGAACACTACCTATCAGATAGACGCTCGGCATGGAAACAAATCCTTTCCATCCGGCCGGGTTGCTCTGGATCCAATCCACTCAGACAGCTTGCTGAATCTGCAAATCTTGACAGAGTCGAAACACCAATCCCCGAAGCACCGTCCTCCTACCCTATCAAACAGTGCTGTTCTGGATCTAGTCCATTCAGACAGCGTGTATAACATCGGAAATGCTGATCGAACCGAACCAACAATATGAGAAGTGAGGGTGCAGATTGGAAACTAGTCCTTTCCAACTGCCCAAACAACTGAAGCTACAATATGAGAAGTAAAGGTGCAGATTGGAAACTAGTGCTTTCCAACTGCCCTAATAACAGAAGAAGCAATGTGAGAAGTGAAGGTGCAGATTGAAAACTAGTCCTTTCCAACTGCACTAGCAACTGAAGCAATAATATGAGAAGGATAAGTGCAGATTGGAGGGTAGTGCTTTCCAACTGCCTTAACAATATAGCCTGGAACTTGCCTGTTCAGACCACTTGCCTAATTTGCCTGCTCTGCCGTATGATTGGGAACTACAATTGTGTTTTCTGGGAATTTCCGACCTTGTACTCGATTTTTAAAATAAATTGAAGTGGAAGGTCGGAACTTTTTGGAGGGGGCAATTGTATATTTTTATTCATGCGGCCTAATATAGACATATGTAATATAATATATATAGTTTTTGTATACATAATTTTATATTTAATTGATAATTTTTGCAATAAGAACATTACAATTCATATACATACGTACGAATATCATACTTGTATTATTAAGTCGTAAGACTGTAACAAATAAATAAATAAAAATAAAAAATCTACTCCTTTTTTTGAAGTCGGTTAAAAATGGGACTATTTTAAAAGCAAAACAGATTGCATGCAAACTTTAAGGATTTACGCATCTCTACATAAAACCAAACAAAGCAATAAATAACAACATAGGCATCTGTGTTAGCTTAAAGTATCGTGAGCAGGCCAAGTCATATACAGATTATTAGTTATCAACAAACGCAATAGAGTAAATAACTATAAAGTATGTATATACCATGATTATTATTGAATCATGTGTATATACATACATGTATATGAACAACTTACCTAAAAAGTGTAAACGATCGCGAGCCATTGAAAGGTTTGTTTGCATTTTGTCGTGAAGACGTTGTGCTCGCTCCCATACGTCACCACGTCCACTCCAGCAATCAACAGCAATTCCATCTTCCAATTCCTTAATGCCTTTACGATACAACTCGATGGCAAGTTCTTTGTGTCCTGACAGAAGCAAAAATTTGCATGTTCGTTAGTTAACGTTTTTACCGATTGTACTTACCTTCGTTTTCTTCATCAATTTTAAGAGCTTTTGAAATGTACTCAAACGCCCTACGGTGGTGATGTTTTTGCTTCGCCAATAAGGGATCTCCAGGACCCGGTGAATTAGATGTACTGCCTCTTCCCGACATTTCAAGTTGCTGCGTAGAACGAAAACGCTGTTGACCTCCGACTGCAGCGATGTTTCCTACTCCACCAAGCGGATAAGTAGCCAACGATGAATTACGTGAATGATATTGTACAACTTGATTTTTATCAGCCTCGGTTGTTATAGAATTTTGATTTTGAGATGTTTGAAATGATTTATTTGAGCCGACAACAATCTCAATGTTGCACTCTCGTTTGTGTGGCCGATAGATCACTTTTGTGCTCGCTCCATATACGTAGCGAAATATGCAAAATAATTGATAAATCAACGAACGTAAAATGTTGAATAGGAAAATTATGGGAAATGAAACGATATAAAGATTTTGCTTGTGCACAGAACTGATCGATGGGGCGCCGTCAGTAGGGGTTTTGTCATATTCCCCGTCTGTTTCCTCGTCTGTATGCGAAGACCTATTGGTGTTAGCGTGAGATGGTGTGCGGCGGCTGGAAGACGATGCTGGTTTTGAGTCGTCGGCTAACACAACACTACACGTACTAGATGATTTGCGGTGTGTACGCGCGCCACTGCTTATATTGTTGCTATTGGTGCTGTTCTGGCGGATAGGAGACTTGGTGCTGCTGCTACTATTGCTCGCGCTGCCGCTAGCATTGCCTGAGGAGGACGATGAAGTCGATTGCGTTTTGTTACGCACCATCGAAGTGTTTTTATTTATGCTCCCTGCGCGTCTTTGCACAGTTTACCCTTAAATATATCGTTCGTGTTTGTGCAATGCTTTACTTTACCAGAACAATGCAAGGGCAATGTAATATTTTTTTGTTTTTATTCCATTTAGTTAACGTAATTTTCTTTCGGGCCTCTACAAATTCTCTTTATTCAACAAAGATTACATCAAAGTATGCTTATATGCTTCATCCCTTATTGCAATGACAGTCTTGTTCAAGGCGTATCAACTACAGGTGATTGCGATAGACGCCATGCTTCTTCTTATGAGCAAGCTTGCGTCAAATTATCGTCTGTTTTGCTTTGTTTACATATCCGCGTACACTTAAACGTAATATTGTGGCGAGTACTGCGGCAACACAAAGCGAACAACGAGAAATAGGCAGAATGTTCGAAGAATGACGTAGAATGTTCCACAAAGAGAAACGTCAAGTTGGATGAACACTGCGAACAGCGAGAGAAAGAGAATGAGCGATAAACTTCAGAATGTTCTAGAGTTGCCATAAGTACCAGCGCAGGTATATAAGGGCGCCGCCACCACGAGGTGAGACAGTTACAAGTCAGCAAGCTACAAGTAAAGTGAGCGGAGAATCGAGTTGCGAATAAGCAAGCTATAAGTTTAATTGTGTTAACAAGTAGTAAAGCGTTGTTATTGCTTTAACAAGTATTGTAAAGTGTTTTTACTGTATTAGCAAGAATTGTAAATTGTTTTTTGTACAATAAAGTTAATTGTATTACAATTCGGTCATCGTTAGCATTTATTTAACAATCCAGCGATACGAGCCCGAGTATATTTGGGTAATCCCTCAAGGTTTCGAGGATAATCGTAACAATATATACACTTATACGTAAATATATACCCTGCAAAAAAATGCTTCCGAAATCTTTAAGGGCCAGTTTTTCAGCGCCAGTTTAAACTTTGATTTCTGTAAGTAAACAGTAAACTGAGTTTAAATTGAACAGCTGGCTACCATTTGATTGGCTGATCTTGGTTTAACAGGTAAACTTGGTAAACAGCCAGATCGGGCGTTGCATTCGCATTTAAACATCACAGTAAACCTCGTTTAAATAGTCCAGTGTCAATTCTCGTTCTGCGATATTGTAAAGTGATAAAAATAATACTTTCACATCGCAAATATTTTGTTGGAAATTTTCACTTCACGATAACACAAAACATAAATGTTTACGACATACAACAATACGACAATTACGACACCGTTGTGAATACCCCAATTGTATCTGTTACTTTTGTGCATGCTGCGTACTGCTTTTCACCATGAACCAATTAGAACAGATCTGACCAGTTGAGAAGCAGCCATTTGTAATAGCAATTGAGAAAAAAGTGTGTGACGTTCGTAATATTGAAGTTTGCTTTTTCTTTTTGCTTCTTTCTTTATGTGCATTTTGTCGGTGGTTTATTTCAGTGATTTTTAAGTGATTTTTTGTGCAAATGTAATTAAAATCAAGTTCGCGGTGATTGGATGCAAAAACACGTACAAAAATAATAAATTGGTTAGCACAAACATGTGCACAACATTGCTTGCAGTTTTTCTTTATGCTTCGTCTTCATAGTCTTTGTTTACTTTTCACAGAAAATAACATGGCGCCGAAATAACAAACGTCAGCCAGAAAATTACTTTTTTCTTTTGCTTCATCTTGTCAGATCTTGTGTCGTTGGATCATGGCTTTTCACTTAGAGAATTTTGACAATGGAAATTAGCGATTGTCAGAATTCCACTTCAGTTTTAATTTAAGGGCTCTGTCACATAGTCAGTAATTATCACGATATTTTGATCGCGATCCATATTGATGGATTGATGGATCGCGCACGAATGCTACATGTTCAATATTTATCGTGTCAGTATTTGCACAATTTTTGTGCGGAACGCTTATTATGACGCAAACAATATTTTTATTTTGTACGAATAGTTTACAGATAATGCATCTACAATTAGTTTAAAATTGTCAATGTTAATTAAAATTTTTTCAATTTGTTTTGAAAGGTTTTAAGCACCGATAGCGATAGCATAGCGAATACGTTTTCGATGTTCACATTATGAGAGTGCAAGATGTCCTGACGAAATGTATGAATCGTGTTTTGAAAGTGCTACACGATCAATATTTATTGACGGTATTGTGATCCGCGATCCAGATTTCAAAATTTTGCGCTATGGATCACGATCTTTCAATACCTCATGCTTCACCGTCAATAAATATCGCGATACTTGGATCATGTCAATAAATACTGAACGTGTGACAGGGCCCTAAGAGACGCCACTAAAAATAAATTTAAAAAATTCGAGAGTCGAAAGAAAAAAGTCGACTTCCATAAACTGAAAGTCGATCACAAATTCGACTTTCAGGAGTAAAGTCGATTTTAGTCGAAAGTCGACTCTTCCAGCCTACTGTGTTAAATCAAGCAGCTGATTGTCAACAGGATTTCCAATTTGTTTTGCATAATAGGAGTTTCGTTATAAAAAATAGTATTTATCAAAAATGTCGAAAGCTGCAGGAAAACTTAAAGCCTTGAAAAAAACCGTTGAAAAGATAACCCATACCACCAAATTAAAAACAAATATACCAGCTGGAATGGCCGCCGCCGGCCCTCCGCTGGGTCCAATGCTCGGTCAGGTTAGTTCATACCTAAAAGACTACCACATTGTAATCTTACAAACGTAAACAGTTCCATACAATACGATTTCATTGTACAACAGCGAGCCATAAATATTGCTGCATTTTGCAAAGACTTCAATACGCGCACGGCAGATATGAAGGAGGGTGTTCCACTGCCTTGTCGTGTCTCAGTCAACAGTGATCGAAGCTACAACTTGGTTATTCACTCGCCACCGGCCACATTTTTTTTCAAGCAAGCGGCTGGCATCCCTCGCGGCGCTATGCAACCTGGTCGAGAAATTTCTGGTATGGTCACTCTGAAACATCTATATGAAATTGCCGCAATAAAAATTAACGATCCACCCAACGCCTTACTAACTATGCAGGTGAGAATATTTAAACGATTACGTTTGATATTTCATTGTGCAAAACTCAAACTTTTTCAGCAAATGTGTGAAATGCTCGTTGGTGTCGCCCGTACGTGCGGAATAAAAATTGTACGAGATTTGAACTCAGAAGAGTATGCGAAATTTTTAGAGGAACGACAGCTCGTGGTTGAAGCACAAAAACGAGAGTTACAAGAAAAGCGGGATGCAAAGATGCTGCGAACTGGTTAAGTGCCCCCCTTAGGCATAAATTTGCATTTAATAAATTAAAATAGTAAAAAAGCTAAGCAAATCCGAGCTGTCTACGATCTTTGGCCGCATTCTTTTTGCGTCGTTTTTCTAAATGTTTGCTAAGTTTCCCAGATTCTTTCAGTTGCTCAAATTGTTGTACTAATTCCTTAGCACGTCGCTCCCCTGAAAACAAACAGCATTTTTACTAACGTTATAAAGATTTAGATAGCACTTACTCTTTGTGATGTAATGTGGACGACCGCCTTTCTGAATCGTCTGTTTGATTTCTAGCTTTTCTCGATTCAAGGACTCTTGCTTCAAGTGCCATTTTTTGTCTTCAAGGTTCTTGTTGGCGAGCCTTTGAATTTCTTTTTGCAATCTCTCCCGTTCTTCACTGTTTTCAGTTTCGCGTAATTGTTTGCGAAGCCGAATTATGTCCTTTTGTCTAATTTTTACAAGGAATTTATAATTTTCTTTAAAATGATTAACTTTGAAATCTCCACAATTTGAATCAAATCGTGGGTCACGCACTTCTTCCTCAGCTTGGCGTTTATTTTTCTGTTCGACAGATATAAAAGGCACTTGTCTCTTAGCAGAAAATTCACGTGGACGATTTTTATTTAAGCGCTTAAATGAAGTCTTCTTAGCATTTAAATTCCTAGTTGTATCTTTATCGGTCCCAATTACAGCCTCCTTATATAACCTTGCACCTAACTCTTCTTTCAGTTTCATTATTTCCTCGAAACTCATTTTGCGAAGGTCCTCTCGAATGGAGCCCTTTATAAACTGTGTACACATTATGAAAATGAGATACGATTTCCAACTAAAAAACTTGTAGAAAAACCTACCCTCTGCTCTTCATTGTGGTCGGAGCACTCGCTATCTGAAGATATTGAATTCATTCTCTTTTAATCTCCGGTTTCTTAACAACGGAATCCTTTTGTTTGTAAACTTTAATCCAGAAGAATTATATTATAACCATTGTGATTATAGGTGGCAATAGAACTGTAAAAATATCGAAGATACTATCGATAGTCTGGTCACATGAAATAACTATCGATAGTTTTAGTACTGTCGCCACTACCCGCTTTTGATATTTCAAAAGACGGTAATTATCTAGGTGGGATTTGAACCCCTAAAATTGATGATTAGACGCGTCTGGACCCAAGTAACAAGAATCCGAAAGCAGAAATTAACTTTTGCGTTCAACTGACGCAAAGTTGCACGAAAAAAAATGTAATAGCTAAAAATATCAAAGTATAAAAAATATCAAAATATTCCCCATAAAAAGGCGTTTGCATTGTTCAACTTTGCATTCTACTTTTGGTTGAACGGCCTTTCAACTAATCGCTTTCAACAAAGTTGGTCGCCACCCAACATTTAGCCATTCAATCAGTGTTGCCGTTTAGGTTACTTTTAACCAATTTTGGTTATTTTTTTCTTGCCTGTGAAGTTGTTAAGATCTTTCCCGTTTTGGTTATTTTTAATATTTACTGTAGTTTTTAATTGACATAGGCCAGCTACACCTCTCGCGGTTGAGGAGAGTAGCAGCAGCAGTGGCAGCCCCAGCAGTGAAACCAAATAAGAATATTTGGAATGTATGCATTAATATTACTGACATATGTATGTATTTGTTTTTATGATATACATAATACATAATATACATGTTCGGCTAAAGACTTCCTCAATGAATGCATACTTAGATAGTACATATATAAATACCTCGTATGTGGGGAATCCAATACCACGTCATGTACATATGTACAATAAAGAAGGGATTTGGTTATTCTTTTTCCATTACTGCTTACTTTATTAATTTAAGTTAAGATTAATAATAATCTTATAGCAAGAAGGCTCAGTGAAAATACCATTCCACAGTTTTGAAAAAATCGGTTTTTTGCGCTTTTGTAAAATTTATTTACCGTCGTATATGCGGTACTACGTTCGGTGAATACGAGGTATTTCGCGCTGAGCAACGATATAGCTTAATAAGTCCAATTTTTAATTGTTTAATCCTAATCTTAAAATATATACATGCTCACGCTGATTAGGTATTTCATTGATTCTTACAAAGAGTTTTGTTTACGAAGATATAAACATTCATACATATGCATCTAATACGGGAAGAATGATTTTCTAAAATATGTATTTACGTATTACAGCCCTAAAAGGATTTACTTTTCAAAAATGCAAATAAAAATTGATTTTCTTTGGTTTGTAAACTTTTTCTATACGTACTATATAAAAGAATGTGTGATGACCTGAATTGTTAATCTAATAAAAAAATTGGTTATTTTTCCTTACATTTGGTAAATTTTTCGTCTAATCTTGGTTAGAAAGTTCTTTGAGTGGCGGCAACGCTGCATTCAATTCCAAATCGCCTTGTGCGAACACCTTTTTACATTGCAAGCAAAAGTCGATGCATAGAAAAAAAATACTTTGATACATCGATGTATATCGGAAAGTCCAAAACATTGGCTGCATTTCTTTATTCATTCTGAACGTTTGGAATAAACTTTTTTGTTAACTTAGGTCGGTGTTATGCAGAAATTTTGTTTGGCAAACTGCGTGCAATTGTTGTTGCAGCAAACTCGGAGAGAGCGAGTTTGGCGACTCTCACAGCAAACTAATTTTGTTTGGTCAAACTGCAGCAAATTCGGTGTTGTCATATACAAAAATTTTAAATTTTGCGCGTTATGTACATCTGAAATTCTCATTTCGTGTTGGCAATAGCCATGAAAACCATAATGAACGTGCAACCCTGTGTCAAACTCGACATAACCACCTCCGAGCAAACTAAGCAGCCGCCATTTAATTTGGCAAACAAAAGTTTGTCTGCATAACACCGACCTTATTCTTTATAGCAAACATAGTTATGGGCGAGTCCGATATGTTTAAACGATCGAGAGAATCGCCATTGTTGCAAAATTACAATCGAGTCAATAATCGACTCGCTGCTCTACTGTACAATCGAGATGTTTTTCGATACTTTCTAGTCGACTGACTTATCACCGACGAGATCGTGTGAACTCAATTGGTAGCTTTCGTAGCATTGTACAGGTGTGTATTAAGTCTTTAAGGGTATTCATCAAACCTTATAAATGCATTGTAAACCGTATAAACTTATAATTGTGTAAACCTTATAAATGAACTGTCAAAATTTGTATGGAAACTCGTTTACACATTTCTGATAAATTTATCCAGCGATTTTACTGAATAAACTTGATAAACTGAAGACAATGCAACTCTGTCGCAACTCTGCTATGTTTTCTTAGGCAATAATCGGGATCGGCATACAAATTTTGCACGCAAATTCAACAACGATATGATCCTGTTAGAGATATGGTTCAATTATTATCCCGTCTGTTTGTTTTGTTTCACTGATAATTCGCAAAGTTTGGTAGCCGTGACAAATGAATTCATACACAAACAGACATTCTGCCATTGTTTCTTATAACTTCCTTCAAATAAATAGCCTTTATGTTATATGGACATTTATTTAAATAGATATCTCGTAAATATAATTTTTTCCAATTTAGTGAGGTAGTTTCTATAATTTCTTTATCCCCGTGCTAGTAGTATAAAGTTAGTGACACTGCGCTTTATAACCAAAGAAAACACGACTATTGTCACATGTGTAAACGAAAAGAGAGTGTGGGTCGTTCATGTAACAGAGTGCATAAACTTATAAGATTATCTGCTTGATAAAGTTATCGGTTTAGATGAATACCACTTTTTTTTTTTTTAAATTGATACATATCGCATGCAAATTTAAATATTAAAAATATTTTTCTGAAGTTCAAATTTATACTGATTAAAGCTGAAATTAGTCAAGAACGTAAACCTACCGGTACGTAAACCCGAGTCAGCTGACACGATCTGTCTTACCAGAGCGCCATGTAAATGAAAACTCAACACCGCAGAATTTTTCTGTAGTTGTAGCCCGTAGCGCAGAAATCTGCGGAATTTAGATTTTTCCGTGTCAGCTGAAATCAGCCTTCTATAGATGGTTGCTACTTCGTCAGTTTCGCAAATGGTAAAAAGGGTATAATATCCTATTCAAAATACGTTTAAAATATTTGAAATTTACTATTGAATAAAGTTTTTTGTTGAAAACTAAGTAGTTTATATTTAGGTACGATCTATTATAGCACGAAAAATTGTATTTGAAAGGTAAGTTTATGAACAGGCATTGATGAGTGGCAACACTGTAGTAAGCAACACTGAGGGCTCCAGTAATCGACAAAATTCTGCGTATACAGACTGCGTTTAAGTATACGTTCTGCGTTCTTGACTAATTTCAGCTTAAGAAATTGTTGGGTATGCGGGCTAGGGAAAATTGACTGAAAATAACGTTTTTGTGTTTAATTACTGTTCGTAACATTAAGCACTTAAGCATTGGACTGCATACCCGAAAACCACACTTGTTAAAAAACAACAACAGTCGGTAGAATGAAACTTAATTAAAACACGTCGTTTTATGTCTTCTTAATAAAATAAAAATTAAAAAAAAATCCCTAGAAGCCTGTACTCCCCATATTAACTATTATTGATCTTATTTATTTGCTGTTTGCAGAAAAATGAAATCGTATTGCATGCGTCAATATGTTGTACTATTTACTTATAGGCCGATTCTGAACAGAAACTTCCCGGGAGTTTTTCTCTTTTCCCTTTGCTCCTATTTTCTTTTTTTACTTTTTACTTTTTCGAAGTTCGAACTTCCTCCCAAAATTTCGGGGAATATACTATACCCTGGAAGTTAATTATTAGAAGATTTCTTTCTCGGGAAGAACAAATTCCCGTAGAACAAAATCCCCGGGAATATTCAGAATTGGGCTGTTAAAAATGAGCCGTATCAGGGAAAACGGGCAGACGCTACATGCCTCCTTTTGATTGTGGAATAAAAACACATTGTGAAGATCCGTTACTATCAATGTAGAAGTATTACATATTTGTATTGTACATACATATGTATTATTTGCAATGATTCCATTTTTTTCTTAAACTATGTTCCCATTAGCGTAATTTAGAGGTCGATCTTAATTTACGCATAAATTAAGTACAAACTAAGTAATTTCGCCTTGTAAGGTCTCTCAGTAAATTAAGTTGAAAGTACGTAGTTTATCTTAAACCAAGAACCAAATCACGAACAAATCAGTGTCGGCTCTAATTTTATCGATAATAATCGAAAAAAGTATTGTCCCATTACTGATATGTCATTGTGTTTGGACGTTTTTGTTTTTAATATCGTGCGTGGTAGTTTGTAAAATATTTCCAGAAGCTTTCTCTTCTGATCACTCATCTAAAATCTAAAAAATTACCACAAACAACTCGGAATATAAAAATATACGCAAGTACTCACATTCGCGATCTCTTTTGGTTAAATAAACAATAACGCAGGGTTGCTACAAAGCTGTCAAGACAAATAAAGAATCGCGTGTTTGAACGCACTTAATTTAGTGAGGTATTTTAAACGAAACTAAGTATTTTATTTTGGTAATGTGAACATAGTTTAATAGAAATTTATTGCAAAAAAAAAAGATGTTTTTTGTTTTGACCGATTGTTATCGAATGTTAATCGCGATTGGCAATTCGTTGGCAGAGTCTGCGACGGAGAACCACCGAGGTGTTTTAAGGTGAAATTAGTCAAGAACGCAGAACGTATACTTAAACGCAGTCTGTATACGCAGAATTTTGTCGATTACTGGAGCCCTTAGTGTTGCTTACTACAGTGTTGCCACTCATCAATGCCTTTTCATAAACTTGCCTTCTCAACTACAATTTTTCGTGCTATAATGGATGGACGCTAAATATAAACTACTTAGTTTTCAACAAAAAACCTTATTCAATAGTAAATTTCAAATATTTTAAACTTATTTTGTATAGGAACTTATAACTTTCTTACCATCTGCAAAACTGGCGAAGTGGTAACCATCTATAATAATAATAATAATAATAATAATAGATTGGCGCTTACACATATGTTAGTGTTTGGCCGAGCTTCTCCTCCGATTTGTGGCGTGCGCCTTGATGTTGTCACACAAAGCGGAGGGACCTACAGTTTTACGCCGACTCCGAACGGCGATTGTATTTTTATGAGAAGCTGTTTTTCATGGCAGAAATACACTCGGAGGTTTGCCTTTGCCTGCCGAGGGACGACCGCTGTTAAGAAAAAACCTTTTTTCTATATTGTTTTGCGATGTTGCTTTGACCAGGGCTTGAACCCAGGCGTTGCGGAGTGGGAGCGCGCACTGCTTACCACTACACCACAGCGGTAACCATCTATAGAAGGCAGAAATCAGCTGACACGGAAAAATCTAAATTCCGCAGTTTTCTGCGCTACGGGCCACAACTACAGAAAAATTCTGCGGTGTTGAGTTTTCATTTCGCTGACACGGGTTTACGTACCGGTAGGTTTACGTTCTTGACTAAATTCAGCTTTAACAACCGCAGGCCAGCAGCGAGACCGAGATGATTTGGTCGATTGCCAGCGAATATGTTACATCAGCTTAAGCACGACTATTTTCGAATGGCAATTCGTCTACTAGGGAAAACATCGAGAACAATCGGGATATTTGAACAATCGAGACAATCCACTAAAACATCTCGGACTCGCTCATTACTAAGCAAACATCGATGTTTCCGATGTATCGATGTTTTTTCTGAATTCCTAACTACGATCAGCTTTAAAAAATTTAATACTTTGCGAAAATGGCGAAAGTGTTTTTAAATAGAGAACTAGTTTTCCAAACGCAAGCAGAGAACTGCTTTAGTATTAAAAACTCAATTTTACAACGACTTGTAAGTATTTCTCTGGATATAATCGCATTGTATAGGCAACGTACTATAACGTATAAACCATAATTGCAGGGCTTATTACCAGATGATATATATTTAGAACAGAATGGCCGTAAATTAATGCCAAATGACATAGTTTCTGGAGTAGCTCAGTGCCGTTTACGCGTGTTTGGTGGAAAAGGTGGATTTGGTTCCATGCTGCGGGCCATTGGAGCACAAATAGAAAAAACTACAAACAGGGAAGCATGTCGGGACCTAAGCGGGCGTCGTTTGCGTGATATAAATGAGGAAAAGCGGTTGAAAGCCGTTTTAGAGAAAATGGGAGACTTGGAACGTGATTCTCAAGAACGTAAAAAACGGAAAATTGAAAAATTGCTTGCACTTCCACGCCATGACTTCAAAGACAAAGAGTATGAAGAGGCCAGAGATAAATTGGCCGAAAAAGTAAATAGCGCAGTTGAGGAAGGCTTAAGAAAAAGCGAAGATAAACCTGGGTGCAGTAACCAATCTTTAAAACGTAAACATTCAAAACTTGGTGCAATTAATACCCAAAAGAAAAAGGCTTTATGGATCGACGAAGATATCTTAGACTCGGATGCAAGTGACGAGTCATCTGATGAATCGAATTCAACGCCCGATTCTTATGAAAAAGAAGAGTTAATAACGGACGAAACTTTACTCCATCCTGATCAGAAGAATAAAGTAAATAGCGTGGTTACGGAAGGCCCGGGAAAAATCGAAGATGAACCTGGGTGCACTAACGATTCTTTAAAACGTAAGCAATCAAAACTTAGTGCAATTAATGATAAAAAGAAGAAAGCTTTATCGAAGATGGATGAAAGTGACGAGTCATCTGATGAATCGAATTCAACGCCCGATTCTTATGAAAAAGAAGAGTTAATAACAGGCGAAACTCAACTCCAACCTGATCAGAAGAATAAGGACTCGACAAAAGTTTCAATCTAAATATCTTATTACGACTTGGTGCTCCTCCGTAATGAAGTGTATGTATTTCGACATGTGAAACACATAATCCCCAATTCAAAAATATTCATTCAGCCTTATTCTGCATTTCGACTCGAATCGAAATTTTCTCCGTTTGGCAACTTTGGTATTCTCCGTTCCGTTTCCTTTCGATCAATCTTCGAAATTTACGATTATACCTATTCTACATTTCGATCGTAGTTCAGTTTTTCTAAGTTGCAAATTTGTTGGCGGAGAACGTTTCAATTGTATTTTCGTGGGTTTAAATAATAAAATTTTATAAAAAAATTAAGTAAAATATTCTTTGCATGATTGTAAGTCATCATAAATGAATTTTCGCGATTTCTGTGTTTTCGCGAGCGGTAATACGGGCAATACGAAAAATTGGCTCAAATAATGGCAACCAAAAGGGATGTTGCGCGACGTTTTCAGAGTGGAAGTCCAGGCGTTTTTGTTTACATTATATATAAATAAGACTGTGAAATGCACTGAATGCAATTGATTCTTTTTATATAAAATTAATAGATGTATGCACATAGATACATACATACATAAAATGTGAAGTTACATAAAAAAGATGCTTTTATTATTGCACTCGTTTTTACTAACTTTTTAAAAAGAGGTGCGTATGTTGTCTCGAATTCGATTTGCTATAGAAAGATAAGCTTTGTCCTTCCCTACCTCCTGACGGCTTTCAAAATGAGATTCATTTGCGTTCAAATCTTCCACTCTGTAGTAAATGCAAATGTTGTGGAGTGCTCAAACAACGTTTATAATTTCACTGACTTTGAGCGATGAGTAATACAGTTCAAGATGAATTCCTTATGACTCTTCACTCATCTGAAAAAGATCAAACATGTCCCTAAATCTCCGCCTTTCAACTTACGCATCAGCAATCTGGGACTCATTCTTCTCTTCAAGCAATAACGCCGCGGCTATGGATTTCATTCTTATAATTATGTATCCACTTAATTTTTATTTTTAAATTACAGTGATTTAAAATATTTACAAACTTTAACTTCATATGCTGCTATTGTTTGGTGGCAAATATTTCTTTGTTTTGTTTCGATTTCACACATTCCTATGCTAACAGCTGATTTCGAAAGATGTTTTCTCTCTTCCTCTTCTTCTTTCGTTTCGATCGTAACGCAGAATACCTAAGTTCGATTCCAGCGGAGCGGAATGCGGGAACGTAATCGAAATGCAGAATAGGGCTGATTATTCCCAAATAAAAAGTCCCCACACTTTTTTGGTAGCAGTGTCATAAAATGCCCACAACACAAAATCCCAGAACTTTTGAATAAATGATATTAATAATAATTACGCATTCGATCTTCGACAGTGCTTCGCCTGGGTAAAAGATTGCCGTAAGCGCAATTTTGAAGATTTTTAGTTAGATGCAGTTATATATTTTGAAATAAGGTCTTTAGATTGGTGTTATCAGTTTCTAGATATCTCCTTTAGTTTCCGATATGTTGACTACAATTTTTTCGATATTTTAGTAAAAATTTAGTAAGTGGTGTAATCATATTAAACTAATCCATCCATATCTTAAAAATGGCATTCTCGATTATTGGATATCTTCAATTTCTGAGATATTGGCTGCGTTTCTTTATACATTCCAGATAATCCCATTTCACAGCCGGAATAAACAGAACGCGTTTGAAATATACGTTAACATATCATCAGGAACGTTCTAAAGAATAAGTAAACAAAAAAGTTTATTCCAAACGTTCAGAACGAATAAAGAAATGCAGCCATTGAGTAAAAAGTCTCATTAATTTAGTAAAAATTTTGATCACGTATTTCACACAAAGTGGCTGCCGAATTGTGGACAAATGACGCTTACGACAAAAATTTACTAAAGAAAATCCTTCATAAACTCAACTAAACTAAACATTACAAATGAAATAATTTAAGAATTTTGTGAAGTACATAGCAACATTTTCAGATAATTTGGAGAAAATCTATCTTCGAGTTTTTGAGAACTTGCAAATAACCAGCGAAGATCGAAAATCGAATGCAACTTATAATAAAGGCCATATTTATGTAAATTTGTGTAAATTAGAATGAAGTCAATAAAACTATAGTTTAAAAAACCAAAACCTTGCTATTATAATTTCCATTCGTACTGTCATCAGGTACTTGAGAACAGAAATCGCTGCATCTTTGAGGCTCATCAATATTACATAGTTACACCCCGAGCTAATAAAAGGGAGGTAAAAAGAAAGCGAGTTTATAAAAACTTGGTACAACGGAGTTCAGCAGCTCGTTTCTTTCTGTAACAATTCTCTACCAAAGCGAATTGATATATGAATTCGCCGCCTTGTTCTCTACTGCTAATGAGTAGTAGAGAATGACGTACATATATTCTCTACAAGTAGAGAAATAATCGGTACAGAAGAGTTACAGAAACGAGCTACTGGTTCGTCGATTCGTCACTCGGATGAGAGCTCAGTAAACTACCCAGGCTTTCCCACGGCACACCAAAGCTCATGTAAGTCGACCTTCGGAGGAAGGGAAACACTCATATCGGACTCTTTAATGAGCTCATTATGGGCGTAGAACTCCTTAAAGACTCGTTTATAACTCCCTGGGCATTGTCTGTGTGAAATACATTCAAATTAGGTTAAAATCGCGGCGATTTTTGAATGAATTTCACACAGAAAATAGGGATTTTGGATTCGCGGATATTGTGGTACACCCTTCCGAAATACATAATGACCGGAAAATAAATTAATTCCACAGAGTTTTATTTCGGTTTAATCACTCTTAAATTAATTTAATATGATTAATCATTGGCGAACTGCGATGAAACCCATGCAAGTCCCCACTTTAAATTTGTTAACATAAATTTTAAAGCCTTTGTCCATTGCTCTTCCGAGTTAAACTGAATTCTGTAAAAATATGTATTTATAAAAAAAAGTAGGTCCTATCTTTATGTTATGCTTACTTGATCGAATATGAATTTCCAGTTGAAGGGTCAATAATTTTCCCTTTTTCCATTTTGTATGGTAGTAGAAATTCTGTATCTCGTTTTTCAACTTCTTGCCTGAACTGTGTTAAACAGTCAAGAAAAGCAACCATAGCAGCGTCAAATTTGGTGTCCCAAAAGAATTTAAATCCTCCGGTTCCATAGAGCGGCAATTCACGATTTTCTCCAATCACTTCAACATATGAATGATTTCCAAACGGTACAAGACGATAACGTTCAAACGTCAATCCTATCTTACGAGCAAGGGAACATAACAACAACACCGTCTGACCCCAGGCAGCATTTATTTCTGACCAATCTACCGCAGCAGAGGGCAATCGTCCGAGTCGAAAATTATTTATAGTGCCAAAATGTCCAGCATGCCATATATGAAAAGTAATATTGAAAATGTTTGCATCCTTAAGTTTTTCCAACTGCTGCTCTGCGTAACTTATCTGACATTCCAAACTGCGTTTATCATCTTCTGTAAGCATTAATTCCCGGCGATGTTTTGTATATTCTCGCCAGTAAACTGCTTCTTGTTGCTGGAGCTTATTTTTCTCTTCCTCCTCTTTTTTAATTTCTTCGTTTAATGATTCTTCCTCAAGCTTAAGTTTTTCTAATTTTGACAGCATTCGAGATTCGCTCTCCTGCAATTCACCTAACTCCTTTTCTAATTCAGCTATATTTGGACAGTCTTGTTGTTGCTCAAGATTTTCCAAGTAATTTTTGTAGTCGCGCCATTCTTGTTCTGCTACTTTTAATTCTTGATCCATAATTTCTAGCATCGAATCCGCACATTCCTCACACAACGGATGGTCAATTTCAGAATTTGAGGACAGGCAGTCAAATAATTCAGCTTTAAGTTTAAAGGCATCGCTCCATTTCTTTTCACGACCGTCCGATACCAGCATAAAACCAGTACCATTAATCGAATCTGTCAAACGAAAAGGCGGAACAAAATGATCAAAAACACTTGGGTCATCTGGGTCCAGTGTATTCATATTGCCTGAATAAATAGGTACTGAAAAATTTTTAATTTAATTAGATGTAAAAAACTGAAATAGACATATATATGTATATATATATATATATAACATGATCCATACACGAAAGTTCTGCCATGGAATGCACATCGATATTTTCCAGACTCTCGTCCAATATAATGGGCTGCATACAACTTTGGCAAGCAAAGGAGACAGGAACTTTATCTTCCTCCGTCATTTTGTAAATCTTAATTGTTTGCCTTCAATAACATCTGATGAAACACTTTATACATACATACAGTAGGGTTTGCAAACCATTGATGGTAATATCGATACTATCGATGGTCGCCTACTATCGACAATCATCAATAATTTCCCCGCCGTCTTCATGCTTGTTAAAGTACGTTTACATATAAATATAATCTCAATCAAAGCTCGGTTTTTAATCATCCTGTTTATACAGCCAAATCTCAGATTATTATCCGTTAAATTTATTGTGCTTTTTGCTCTAACATCTCAAGTCAAGGAAAAGTTAAGTTTCTTTTCTCTGTCACCGTGATCACTCTTTCTGCTATATTAAGGGCCGGTTACTCAATGTCTGGTTAACACTAATCTCCGGCTAAACATAGGTATCGACGTTACCGACTCCCTGTTATATGCATGGAGTCGAAAACGTCGATAACGATGTTTAACCGCAGATTAGTGTTAACCAGACATTGAGTAACCGGCTCTAAGTTTTTTAAATTAGGGGATTCCCTTAAACTCGTAAAGTCTTAAACTGTGTAAAACTGGTAAGTTTACGAGGCTTTTATGAGAACGCTCCCTTTGTAAAAAGGTGTAAATAGGTGCGTAAAGTGGCTGTTTGACAGATCAACCAGAATTTTGTGAAGCTATTTTTGTTTCGTAGTATTCTCCATAACATCATTCCACTTTCTCTCTATAACTACTGGCTAAAATACAATTAAAAATGCCGAAAATTTGCAGAAACCCAAAGTCAATACAGTTCGCGGATGAAATTCATTCATTTTATTCGCTTATTATTGTTTTCATGTATTTTCATTATTTATCATACATTTTAGTATAAATATTTTGGCCTCTCGGCAACATTAAAGTTTACGAGGTCATTTGCGTATCAAAGGCCGGTGTTAAGCGAAGCGCACATTAGCGCGATTCCATCGTTGCGAATACGTTGCGAATTCGGCTGTTAACTTCGAATCCGCAAACGTGCGCACACTTGAGCGATTTTTTCGCGTCGATTTCCGATGTACAATTCACTCAATTTTCCCTTTATTTCGTGTATTTTCGCACTCGGCGTGCCCAAATCGTACAAAATACTATTATTACGAACGTTTTTATTAGTTTTTGTACATTACACGTTTTTTTTTCTTTGCCTTTATTGCTGTGACACCTTTCTTCTTCTTCTTTGACGCCTTCAAAACGCTGCAAGCCGCGTTTCGAACGCGTCAATAAAGAAGAACATTGAATGTTCGAAAAATTCGCAGCGACGGAATCGTGCAAGTGTGCGCTAGCGCATTAAAATGTATGGGTAGCATTGTTGTAATTTTTGGGCTTGCGGATTCGCAACGACAGAATCGCGCCAATGTGCGCTTCGCTTTATGCAGACAAGCTTTTGTTTGACAAAATAAATGGCGGCTGCGTAGTTTGCTCGGAGGTGGTAGTGTCGAGTTGGTCACAGGGTTGCACGCTGATTGTGGTTTTCGTGGCCATTGCCAATACGAAATGATACTTTCAGATGTACATATCGTACACAAATTAATATTTTTTATGATATTGTATAGGCAATTAACTGTGACCTAAACTTTGAAGTTCCTACAGCATACAATTATGCCACAGAATTCATGAAATATGCATAACGCACTAGCGAGAAACTAAACAGTAGGGTTGTGGCTTTTTGCCTCCTTTTGAATTTGAAAAACCTGTTGATACCAGGAAATGAACCATATTATATTTAAGTTGGTTTTAATATAATTTCATTTTAATCTATTTGAATTTATTTTATATTTGAACAATTCCACGTAACTTTTCCTGTGTTGTGAATCCTGTTTATGACACTCATGATTTTTAATCTAAAAACATCATAGCAAACAGCTGTTTGTGGAACGAGGCGTTGCCGGACTTGCACTTCACGATTTCATGAAATGATGCCGAGTTCATGGTTAACTTTCGTTCATGAAATGGTGTTTGTTCATGAAATGAATTGGTGAATTAGCCTACGCATAAACGTAGTATGTCTTTCGGTATCACGGCATTTTTTGTGTATGGCAACACTAGTTTTACAGAAGTTTGGCCCAACAAAATTAGTTTGCTGTGAGAGTTGCCAAACTCGCTCTCTCCAAGTTTGTTTCAACAACAATTGCACGCAGGTTGCCAAAAAAAATTTCTGCATAACATCGACCGAATTTGTCTCGTAATTCTACGGGTGGTTCGTAAATAGAGCTCCACACAAACGTTGACAGTTCCTTTACGAGGCTCGTAAATTTTCAAGTTTCGCGAGGCTTTTACGAGCTTAAGTGAAGACCCTTAATATATTTCAACTCAATTATTTATTAAAAATTCCTTTATTCTTCCTCTTCTTATTTGGCACTACAACCGATTGTCGGTTTGGGCCGAGACCAAAAAGCTTCTCCAATTGCTTCTCTCCTGTGCAAATTTGCGCCAGTTGGTTATCCCGAGCGCAGACAAGTCCTTCTGCACTTGGTCCTTCCATTACGTTCGTGGGCGCCCTTGCGTTCGTTGTCCACCCATGGGGGCGGAGTCGAAAAATCTTTTCACCGGAGCGTCCTCATCCATGCGTACATGTCCAAGCCAGCGCAATCGCTGTATTTTTATGCGCTTAACTATGTCCACGTCGTTAAAAAGCTCATACAGTTCGTTATTCCATCTTCTCCGATACCTGTCGTCCACGAAAACAGGACCGTAGATCTTGCGTAGAATAGTTCTCTCGAAAGTCCCTCATCTGTGTTCGACAGCGTCCAAGTTGCTACGCCAAGTTGCTGTTGCATGATGAGAGATTTGTAGAGCGTGATTTCCGTTCGTCGAGAGAGGGCTCTGCTTTCCAATTGCCAACCGAGCCCAAAGTAGCCCCTATTGGCAAGAGTTATTCTTCGCTTGATCTCCAGGCTGACGTTGTTGGAGGTTTTTATGCTGGATCCAAAATGAGGAAGTGTATATAATTTTGTCAGTTAAAACTTATTCGCAAAATGAAGAGTGTACACAATTTTCAGTGTAACCTTAAAATTCACAGCTACATAATCCAGGGGCTCTATTCTGCAACTTTGAGAAAATGTAATGTATACCGAGTTTAGTTTTTACTCAACGACTAAAATTCAGTGGGCCTGAGCGCATTATCGATCGCACACTGGACTGGGCAGTCGGCCAAAAACAGGTTTCAGTTTTGTATACATGAACTACGCATGATTATGTTAGTCCATGTGGCACATGCAAACAAAACGAAATAGAAAACATGTTGTCTATGTGTGCGTGTCAGTCCACCGTCAATCCAAGGTGTATTAAACACGCCTTGCGTCAATCCGCGATTTTCGCAGCATGAACCAACGACTACAGATCACCTAATCAGCCATCGTTGTATTTGTAATCGATTTTCAGAAAAAAGTTTTCGTAGCGTTTTTGACGTTTTTCGGGTTTGTTTACATCGTCTTCTACCTCTTCGTAGTGATTTTTTAGCGATTGAATGTGTTTTCTGCAGCGATTTTAATTATACATTTTGGTTTATTACATATTTATGATATAAAATAAAGTGCTGTGTGATCGGAACAAGTTTGTGCGTATGTTTGGTTTGCCAAAAGGCGTAAATTTGCGTGAAAAGTGGGTGCACGTTTGTGGCCAGAACGTTGGCATTGAAAAATCGACCCGTGGTAATGATATGCGATTGTAAAACACTTTCAATCATGAAAACCATATTTTATGAACTTTTTTTGCTAATTGTCATCAAGTTTCACTTTGTATATTTTATAATAAATACCAATTTAATCGCACTCAATCACCGCGCCTTTTTCGTTTTCTTTGTTTGTTTTCATTCTTAGGCAGATGTCAAAAACACTCAGAAATATACTTTTTTCTTGCTTCTTTGATTAGGTGATCTTGTATTTTTGGTTCATGTTTTCGCAGACTGAAATGAGCGAGGTAAACTCGAACTCTCTTCCCGCTCTTATCCACACAAAACCGGTTACTGCCGTCCCTAAATTGGAGCGCTAAGCGTTGCGTTATCCATTGTCGACGAGTGTCAGCGCGCGCTATCCCCAAATCAACGCGTCGTAATTTTTGACTTTTTCTCAGATCCTCTCGTTTTTATTCTCGTTTCCTCTTTCACTTTTTTGTCCTTTCTCTTTCTTTCCGTCTTCCGCATCCAACTTCAACACGTAACGCCCTGTCAAAAATGAAAATTCCATTTGCTCGGCGTTAGCGCCGCGTTATTGTGGGATGCTTCATACAAATTGTATGGGCATGAGGATTTTTGACAGTTGTTTGGCGCTTGACGCGCCAATTTAGGGATGGCAGTTAATCGGACTCAAGAATGATAGAATACAAGATTGCGCCAATCGAGCTGAGAGTAACTGGCCGTGACGTCAATAAATACCTGAATGAGAGAGCAAGACGAACTCGACAAGAAAAAGAGGAAGCGTCGAACAAAAGGCAGTATTGCCAAGTTCTCAATTTGAAAAAGCACCAAATATTTATTGGTGTATTTTATGGACTTTATATGCATACATAATTATATTGTAAGGATGCCGATTCAAATTAATAAAAATCAATGTTTCTTGCACGACGGTCCATTTTTTCTGGCTTGATTGAAGTTGCTGCCACATATTTTGTTGTCGCTTATGATTGTGCCATGATTTTATTAAAATTTTTGTGAAGTTGCTTACCACGCTTATGATTGCTATAAATTTTGCTTCCATTTTTTTAAGATTTTATAATTTGGTATCTTCAAACTAAAAACAAAAGTACCAAAAACGCACCAAGCACCAAACTCAAAAATGTTCGGGTTTTGAATACCCACTAAATTTGGCGCGAAAAGCATTAAGTTGGCAACAGTGAATGTAAACAAAAGTATTTTATGACGTCAGCGATTGGGTGGATGCTGTCAAATCGACGATGAGAGGGTTAGCGGTCCGCGAATGGCGCGACCTTTATTTTCTGGATCGTGAGGCGGACTGAGCAGTCCAGTGTGCGGAGGCCCAGTGAGTTTTTGTACAGTTATACAATGTTCTGACCGACAACGAAAACACCTTGAAAACGAGTTTTGGGATTGTGGGCTGAAGGCTGTTCACACCGACTGTTGGTGTTTTCGTTGACATTTCTTCCATCCATTGTTTACAGTTTTGCTGCACAAATACAAAACGAAAATACTTTTCCTTCAATTTCTTTTCATTAACAACCTTTTATCTCCATGCTTATTTTATTTTGGTCAGCCAATTAACAATAAATAAATAAATAATGGCGTATTAAAGATGATAAAATATGACTTCCATTTCGATAAATAATCGAAAAAAAGTAGTGCAGACACCGATTGTAATGAGTGGAACGTGAATTTTTAAGTGGTTTTCAGCGAAAACTTGTTTTCGTTTGACAGATTTTACATTGACGAAAACACAAGTTTTAGGTCGAAAACCACTTACTGAAAGTTTCGTTTAATTTCTGAGGCGTTGTTTATTTTAACTTGAAAATTTTAAAAATCATAGTAGCGGTCCGCTCAATGCGCCACCTTGGTTCTCTACATTGCGGCGAAAACCGTAATACGTTAGTAATTGTATACGAATAAAGGGTAAAATTTTCACTGTGTAAGTGTAAGAATAATGAAACACAGCTGAACAATTTTAGCAGCACCCAAACAGCACCGAAGTTTCCACGTGCAACTATTGTGACATTTCATTTTGTTGTGCAATTTCGTTGGCTATCGCACACACACAGGTGACTGAAAGTTGTCTCTCTCGCACCGCTCCCATTGCAGTGGCACCGTGTTGCTTCTTTGCAAGTTTACTTGAATAAGTGTACCTACAGTAAAATAGAATCATACATTTTTGTACAATATTTTTACTATTTGTATATGCATATAAAGCATATCTAATTGATGAAAACATAAATTATTTTCAAATTCGTGGGTTTTATTTTAATTTTGATCACTTGTGCAGTCTTTTTTACCGCTAAATAGCACATAAATTACGTAACTCACGTAGATATCTTAATATTTCTTTCAATATTTCGTTTAAAATGCCAAATTTCTTGCAAATACATTAGAATTTACAAAGAAATTTCGCTACTAAGTGCCTACTTTGCGTACTTTTCTACTACCATTTTCGCACCAAGGGATTTCATTATTTACAAAAATTTGCACGGGCAACGAAGGCACGGCTGCCATTTCGGCGAAAATTGACCATTATCGGTACGTTTTTTTTTTTCAATTTGGTACATTGGTGGTGGATAGAGTTCGTTTGTATGGGTTATAAAATCTGTAAAATAAGCATTATTTACGAAACGATTATTCTGGTTTTATACCAGCTTTGAATTTACAATACCTCCATAATTAATACATATTTTCTTCTACTGAGCTAGAAGAACGTTTTGCATACTTAGCTCGATTTTGTATTATGACACTTTTGAAGTAAATGAGTTCTTGTGGCAACCGCGATCCGAGTGCACGCACACATACGCATATATCTTGCGCGTTGGCATTTGTGTGTGCACTGGTGAATTTTCGTGGAATGGGAAAATCGCAAAGCAAATGTCAAAAACGTTTCAAACAACCAAACACAAGTAAATTAACCACCGTTGCTGTCGTGCGGCCACGTGAAAATTTCCTCGTTCGAGAGCCGTGTGTGTTGCCCAAATGGAGGCAAATGGTTAAAAACAAAAAATATATTCCAGCAAATAAGTGTATTATTAATAAAAACAGTGAAATTAAGTAACGAAAATCGGTTCTTGTCGCCGGTATGTGAATGCTTTGTGAGGTTAAAATCGGAAAAAAGCTGGCGCGGAAGCTAAGCACAAGGCAAAAGTAAGAAGGAGCACGTTGTCGATTTGGCATTAACCGCGTGTGATATTTTGAAAACAAGGTTCTTAAACATAAAGAGCGATAACTAGAAAGTATTCATGATCAAATACAACATAACTGGACTACAAAAGGTGAGTTTTGAGAAAACTAAAAGATCGCCATGCCTGGACCGCTTGGAAACATGCGTGACGTAGTTGCAAGCGGGGGCGGTTGCAAGAGTAACGGCATTGCAGAGATTTCAGGGTGGGCTATAGGACCGATTGCCTAAAGTATGCAGCATAATTAACTGTTAACATGTCCAAAATGAAATTATGTATGTATAATGATGTATCAGACAATGAACTTGACTAAATGGGGATTCGTTAAAGAAGTTTGTGTACATACATACGTACGTACATACATACATGATTTCTAAATAGAAACTTTGTTTAATATACAACAACAATGCAACGTGTCAATGGTTATCTTCATACGTGCTGCAGTTTGCACGTGTTAAAAGTTTCAAAGTTAATTACTAACTGGCCGTCTCCCCGGCTAAAATTTATTGCGGAAAAAATGCAGTTTGGCTCCAAATCTCAAATTAAAAAAATATATATATATATATTGGGATCGATAGAGATAATGGAGATAAGTATAACGGTATACTTCTTTTAGGGACATTATCAGAGGTTAAATTTCAAAATAAGCTATTTTTCAAATCAAGATTTCTTAAAAACGAATGAATGTATTTTGATCTAGTTTAATAGGAAATTTCATTCCCTTTAACTTGGTATAAGAACTTTATATATATGTTGTATGGTTCTTACAAAAATTGAATTAATAGCCCTGTTCGCGTACGCACTATCCAGTACTAATTTTACTGGTTTTTTATTGGATGTCCTTTTCGCACGCAAAAACTTGCAAGAAACTAGCAAAAGAGGGGAAATTGTGAGAGCAAAAATGACAGCTGAACCTGCAAGTTTTATTGGATTTTTACTGGATAATTTTTTACTAGAAACTATTTGATAGTAAAAAAAAACAGCTGATGGCATGATGCTTAATGTTATTCACATTAACAAAATAATTGTTTGTGGTGCCTTTAGAGTTGCAATTGACGAAATAAACCTATTTAAATTTATAACATGGAAAATACTAGTTTTCTAAGAAAATTGCATCGGAAAATAACAAACTAAAGCTGTTCATAAAACAAGCAACTTGCTGGTTTTGCGTTTTCGTACTTTCTTGCATATTTCACTCATTGGAGGTTTGGTTACTGGCAAGTTACTGGATATTTTTTTGGTGGAGAATGCGAAAACACCACTAATGTAAAATAATTATAAAAAACACCTTTTTCAGTGACCACCTTTCTGCGGTAAGGCAAAGAACATAGTGACGCGATAAAGAGAGCGACAAGACATTAGGTTTGTTCGTCGAGCAAAAAATTTGTAGGAATTTGTACGAATTATCACGATTTTTGCCCAAATCGCGTTCGTGCAGACCAAAAAATTATCCAACACTCAAAAATTGTGAGAGCAGAGTGACAGTTCTCTTCGAGAGATGTTGCAAATTCTTGCTTGAAAATCATGTGGTTGTGACGCATGGTTTCATTTTTGTCTACAATAATTTGAATAAATTAGTTCGTTAAATTTAAAAATTTATAAACACGAGCGATTTTTTTATGTAAAACGAAAGTAAATAATTGTTGATAAAAATGGTATTCGCTATCGGAATGCAATTGCAACCAGAGTCGATTTAAGAAACCCGACAGCTAGTACGATGAAGAAATTGAAATGTATGTTAAAGAAAGTCAGAACAACAAGAAATATATATATATATCCTGTTTTTGGCCATCCGAAAGAATTTTAAAAATTCTATAAAAAATGTTTATGTTTGAAATGCAGAAATTTGCAAGTTTCTCAACATGAGAGAGAATTTGAGAACATTTTTTCTTACTCTCTGATATTTTGAGTGTTGGATAATTCTTGCTGGATTTTCGACGAACAAACCTATTTTCGGATAATAGCGACAAAAGCAAACCTTTATTTTTCATTGTGGCAGCCAGGGTTGCCACTTTCGTAAATTATTACCATAATTGGTAGAAAAAATTCGGGTTGGTAAAAAGGTAAATTTTTTGCCATGTTGGTAGATTTTTGTTAAAGTATTTTACTTGAACTTTAAAACTTTTCGTTCTTGCTTCATTTTTTGTAATTATCTTTTTATTTTAAATTTCCTTCTAAAAGTATAGTCTACTTAATTGCATTATTTTTCGAACGCTTTAGATAAAAGGCGAACATATAGTGTTCTATTCAAAACTCATTTTGCTGGAATCCTGAGGAGCTTTTGATTACCCAAATATTATAAATGATTATTCAAATAAAAATAAAATATGAACAGGCACGTAATGACACACTATGATTGTTCGCATAAAAAATTAAAAAAAAAATCAACGCCGGTTTTATAAAAAAGACACAAAAATCCGGTGGCACGCTTTGACAGCAGCGCGAGTAACGCCCGTGCTTGCTACAACGAACGCTTAGCAGAGAATATTAATGCCGTTATAACATTTTCAATATCTCGATTCTATCGACTAGGTGTATGGTGTCAAGTTAGCACCATGATTCAATAATACAAGGTTCGATAAACTGACAGTTGTCTCTCTCGCACCGCTCCCTTAGCAGTGACACCGTGTTGCTTCTTTGCAATTTTACATGGAAACAGTGTAGCTTTGGTGTGAAATAAAAGTATAAGCTTTTGTGCAATATCTTTATTTGTATATGCATATGAAGCATATTTAACTGATGAAAACATATGCATTGGATGTTTACATCAGTCTCATAGTAGTCTTATTTAAATTTTGAGTCATTTTGCAGTTTTTATACGGCTAAATAGCATATAAATTACGTAATTCACGTAGATATATCAATATTACGTTCAACATTTCGTTTAAAATGCCAGATTTCCTGCAAATACATTAGAATTNTGCCCGAGGACGAGCAACTCGGTGCCCCTCTCCTTTCCTCGTCACGCTCTCTCCTACAAACGTCGAGTTGCGGCAACAAAAATCGCCGTGTGTAAATGAGCAAAGGAGGCCCGTCCACATCCAACTTTGGCGTTGCGTTGGCGCTGGCGTCGCTTTGACAGCAGCGCCAGTAACGCCCGTGCTTGCTACAACGAACGCTTAGCAGAGAAAACTTTGGACACTAAATTAACATACTAGAGGCAGATAAATCAAAATTTTATATCAATAATTGCATTAAAGATTATATTTCTTGCCCGCTTTTGATTAAACATGAAAATTAAATGACATAATTTTGATTATTTGGAACAGCTGACGAACGACGCGCGCAAAAAGTTGAGAGTTAACCATCTTTCTACGTTGTGTTGGCGTTGGCGTTGCCCAACTTTGGTTATGTGGAGATTTTCATATAAATGCATATATTCATATTCAGCTGGCAAAGCGACGCCAACGCTAACGCATCTCTAAAGTTGTATGTAAACCAGCTACGGGCAGATAAAGCTTTTACTCTATATAGAAAGCTTAAAAGAGCTTTGACGGCGGGCAAGGCGGTGCCCATCTCCGATGTAAACGGTTCTTTAAGTTGTAGTTCTGTCTGTTTGTTCTGTAATTATCTACATAAGAATAAGTGGGAAAAGGTTTGACTGCGATGGTACATAGCCCGTGTTTTTATTATGTTCATAAAAATTTAGTAATTTTTTTCTTAGTTTGGTAATTTTTTTTTTTAGAGTATTGGTAAAAATTAAAAATCTTTGTGGCAACACTGATTAGAACCCTCACAATGTAAAATTCTCTCTGTGTTGCGAAGAAAATCAAATCAAATTTCCTATTAAATTGGATCAATTTTTTAAAATCCATGCATTTGTTTTTAAGAAATCTTGATTTCAAAAATGGCTCATTTTGAACTTTAACCTTTGATAATTCTTGTTGTTGTTGTTTCCCCCCAAAAAAAAGTATACCATTATACTCAGCTCAATCATCTCTATCGATCACAATGTTTTTTTTTTTTAATTTGAGATTTGGAGCCAAACTGCATTTATGCCTTTATTACTGTCCAGCTGTCATTTTGGTCGCTAGATATAGTAAGTTATATCAGGGGCAATATTTGTGTGGGCTTTTTATATCTTGATATAACCATTTGTAAGATAGCTTCGAAAACGTATTTTTGCCGCAAATAATCGCTTACAAAATTTAGAAAATGGGCTTTTTTACATCCAAGCACATAATTACAATTATTTTAACAAGAAACAGCAAATTTTTTGCTTTTATATAAAAATATTAATGTTGCCGCCACGAAGTTTTCGTGCAAATGAAAATGTAGCTGTCAAACTACCAAATTGCCGGCTCTTGAAGAGCAATGAGTGGTCTCCATTGGCTATTGGAAGAACGCCCTATTTCGGAATTTTATTGGAAAATACACTATCTAAGAATTTGGTTGAAGAACGCCCTATATCACTTCAAAATGTATTGAAATTGTGCTGATATAGGGCGTTTTTGAATTGAAACGAATTCTGAAATAGGGCGTTCTTGAAAAGTTTTTTGCGATAGAGCCCATTTTATTTTTTTAGCCCATTAAATTTTAGTCTCAACAATGTTCACGTTTCAAGTGGCTAAAAATTACCGTTGATTTTTTAGAGTTTATTTTCATCGAACGTGTAAATTGTGTTTATTCGTTATATATACGAAAATGCGACAAAAAAAATTTCTAAAAAATCAACGGTAATTTTTAGCCGCTTGAAACTTGAACATTGTTACACTAAAATTGAATGTGCTAAAAAACTTTGTATGTACTCAAAAAAACTCTAACACTTCTGAGAAAAAAATTTGGAATTTGGGTGAAAATTTTTTGCATTTTTTGTAACTTTCTACAAAGTTTTAAACTTAGGTTTATTTAGGACTTGTTAGAGAATGAACTGTATTTTAATTTAAAATTCCTAAAAATAAATAAATAAACATGAGTGGCAAACAATATCACTTTGAAAAGGGGGTGCTGTTGTATTGACTAATACTGTATATTAGCTACTGAAAGTTTAAGACAACTTTTTATACTACAATGCTAAGTACGATCAATCATTAATTTTTTCGTAATTTTTAGCCACTTGAAACTTGCACATTGTCAGACTAAAGTTAAATTGGCTAGAAAACTTCGTACTCAATAAACTTCTAACACTTCTGAAAAAAAGGTTTGAAATTTAGATAAAAATTTGTTGAATTTTTTAGTCTTTTAAAAAGTTTAAAACTTGGGTTTATATGGGTGACAAATCAACTGTATTTTAATTAAAAATTCTCAAAAATTAATAATTAAACATAAGTGGCAAACAATACATATCACTGAAATGGCCAATACTGTATAAAAATGTAAATCGAAAATGCAAGCAAATGAATTCAAAGGGCTTTATAACTTTAAATTTCGTATTCAGATGAATTACTCCCATTCAAGTACATAATTAAAACAAAATTCCCATACATACGCACATATCGCAATATAATACGAAATTATTAAACTTTTTATTTTAGTTTGTTGACAAAAAACAATTCGCGACATAATGGATTCACGGCTCTTGAACGTATTTCACGATGATCCGTTCGACGGTAGTTATACCCAACTCAATGCGGATTTTTGGTCCGGTGGGAGCGAGTAAGTTAAAGAAATAACATTTGCATACCTTTACATTAAAAGTTATACATCTTCGTGTAAAGTACAAAACCGCGTATCGTGGTTCTGCAAAACGTCGTAACTGACATTTGTGCCAAAAAAAGATATTTGTTCACCGGAACCTCCTGGCATCAAGCTCTTATCCATTCATACTAAAATATCGATACTTAAATATAAGAAGAGATAATTGGGGATAAAAGAGAGAACCGTTTTGAAATAAGACAAGTTTTACTCTCTCCTCTAAAATTTGGCCAACCCCACGTGCGAGGTTTTGCATTTTCTTGATACGCGGTTTTGTATTTAAAACGACAATATGTTTTTAACGCTAAATTTATGGATTTATTTTTCTCCAGTACAATGGGCCAACTCACAGAGACATTGAATGGAATTCTACCAATCGCTGCGGAAGCAGACCAAAATGCAGATATTTACAGTAGTACCACAATGCTCGATACCGAAGACCATTTCCGGATAACGAAGAAAATAGATTCTGCAACGAATCTACAAAATGATGAATTGGTAGGTGCACAATCCATAAAACGGGGGGAGGCGAAATAAGAATATATTTTCTATAAAATTGTCGCGTTCGAAATTTCAGCTAATTTATGATGACTTTACACAGCATCAACTGCCAGCAGATGGAGCAATTGAAATTATAACTGTTGATCCTAATTCATTAGACTCCGACACAGATCTGGATACCGATGATACTGACGATGATGATATCGGTAATGATAATGAGCTGAGTGAAGATCATGGTGGAGAATTCGACGACAATCAAAGTCAGTATAGTGATGCAACATTTCGCACACGTACTGATAGTTCTTCAATCGGTGACTACGAATCGCATACGAGTGACTATGATGACAGTTCTGATGACGAGGAAACTGCTGGTGATAACATAAATAACCAATGTGACGATATACATACAAGTAATAAAACTGAAGCGCTTTTGTTGGGAATCGATCAATTACCTGATTTAACAGCGGGTCTGTTAGCTACTGATGGAATCGATGTGAACGGTGAATTCCATCTACCCCTGGAAAACGTCATAGCGGGTGGTAAGAATCGAACTATGAGCACCAACACCATAGGTTCGGATGTCGACGTTAATAATTTCGATTTAGCAGAATTTATAACAAACGATAATTTATCCTTAAATGTTCCTAAAGAGAACTCAAAAATGAATAGTAAATTGCAAACTAAGACAATTGTTCACACAAAAATGTTACCAATACCGGTTAAACAGAATTTAGAAACAGATTCTGACGCTGATTCAGATGTTATTGTTGATATAGAGACAGTAGATGTAGATAATGCGAAATCTTTATGGGATATTGCATCTAAAAGTTTCGTTAAAACAAAAGAAAATGGTAATAATGATGTTATATACAAAGATAATGTCAAAGAGGATCCATCATGGAGTCCCAAATGTGCAAAGAAACAAGATACTACAGCGAAAGAGGTACAGTTATTTTTATGAATAAAAAGGGTCATAGTTAAGCTGAAATTAGTCAAGAACGTAAACCTACCGGTACGTAAACCCGAGTCAGCTGACACGGTCTGTCTTACCAAAGCGCCATGTAAATGAAACCTCAACACCGCAGAATTTGTCTGAAGTTGTAGTCCGTAGCGCAGAAATCTGCGGAATTTAGATTTTTCCGTGTCTAATTTCTTCCTTCTTTAGATGGTTGCCACTTTGTCAGTTTTGCAGATGGTAAAAAAGTTATAAGTTGCTATTCAAAATATGTTTAAAATATTTGAAATCTACTATTGAATAAGGTTTTTGTTGAAAACTAAGTAGTTTATATTTAACTACAATCTATTATAGCACGAAAAATTGTAGTTGAAAAGGTAAGTTTATGAAAAGGTATCGACAAGTAGCAACACTGTAGTAAGCAACACGAGGGCACCAGTAATCGTATACGTTCTGCGTTCTTGACTAATTTCAGCTTAAGACGTTTTCTTATTAAAATATCTATTAAAGTTAAATATATAATGGAGCTTTTAACTATTTTAGGCAAAAACACGGTCATCTACCACAACAAATACTTCAGAAAGTCAAACTACTAGTAATCCTCAAAATGCACGCAATTTTACTATAATACCCAGCAAACGTCAATGTGACATCCTTAAAGGCAAAGCTAGCAATGGCAAGAATAAGTCATCTTCAAAGCATAATCAAGTGAAATCTATGACGAAAAAAGGACCAGAGATTACAACAGGAAATGTCCAAAAAGCTGGTTCACTTACTTGCAGAGTTGGTGTGGGTCAAAGTGGCAAAAATTTGGTCCTGCTATCACAAAATTCTTCTACATCTGAAAGCAAATCACAAACTACCAAGACTGCAGGAATAGATGAGAAAAAGTTGGTGACACTAACAAATACTGTACAAGAAACAAACATTGCATTAAAAGAAAAGAAAAACGAAAAATTAGTGGAGCATGAAAAATTATCAGTTAAGCGAAAACTAAATTTAGAAGAATATAAACGCCGACGTGACAAAGCTCCACCTGGTCAGAATGAAGGCGTTAACGCAGCAACCGAAAGCCAATTAAACAAATCTGCAACCCAAAGCATGCAAATAAAACACAGCGAAGAGGTAAAATCTGTTGTTAAGAGTTTGAGAAATCAAGCTAAACAGAAAACTCAAACTGATCCTATAACTGAGGCTAAAAATAAGGTATTGCGCATGCAGGAGTTGAAACGAGCACAACAACTGAAGATTATAGATTCGACAATATCTGCGAAAGTACCGCGTGTCACAAAACTACCACCACTTAAGGACATTGTAAAGGACACATGCTATGCTGATAATACCCAATACAATCAATCTGCGGCTAATACAAAATTACATCCAGATTATGAAGAACTAATTATCGTATCCGCTGGCAGTAATACGGATATTAGTATACCACCACTTAATGTATTACCTATTAATACTTGTGAACGTTCACTTTTGAAGTCATCAGCGTTGTTATATAATAATATGCCAAAGGGATTAACCTCAAGCAGTTCTTTGATTGCCAGTATACAGGACGTTTTTGTACAAAAAGTGGTTGGTCCTGAAAAGACCAGCATTGCGAATGGTCCTACAACGTCGGTTACGGAGAAAACAAGAAAACAGGGAGAGCAACATGGCGAGGATAAAGTCATTATGCATTTGCGTAAGGATAGAATAGGACCGCGCACCGTCAGCGTTGGCATACAAACTGACTTACAACCAGGATTTGCTCGTTTGCCAAAAGTTCAGCTAAAAAAGCGTTTACAGCGAAATTATCGAAAGCATAGTGGTAAAGGCGGTTTAAATGATTCCGGTAGTGATACATCATGCGGCCGTAGTCGCAAGCGCAGTCGTAGTCCAATTAATCGATCACGCAGTCGCTCAGGTGATAGCTTTGATTCGTCGTTGGAACATACAGGAGTTCGCCAGTGTGACAATGCTGGTGGCTATTCTTCGCGCAGCAGCCGTCGGCATCGCAGTTCCATTAGCTCGTCTTATTCCGAGTCTGGACGCGGGTCACGCAACACACAACGTCAATCGCGCACAAGCTACAAAAAGCGTTCGACGAAATATGCTCGCGATTCATCAGATTCGTCGTCATCATCTTCAAACTCGGATTCCTCTGATCGCAGTCGCTGTCGCAGTCGCAGTCGCAGCCCTTATTATCGACGATCTTACTCGAGATCTCGCTCGCGGTCACGTTCCATTTCACGTGCAAGCAATCGCTTTAGAAGGCCAGGCGGTCATAAAAATTTCAGCAATATATCACAACCAGGTTGGTGGTCAGAAATGAGACGCAGTTTTTTGCGAATTTCTTTCGTCGGTCTATTTTTATGTAATTATTACATACATACCTATAGATAGTACTTTAATTTAATTTAACTTTAGTTTATTTTGTTTCAATTCAATTTCATTCATTAATTTATGTTGTGTTTTATTTTTTTTTAGTTTATATATTTTTCTTTCATTTTATTTTATTTCGTTGCATTTCATTTTATATTATTTTAATCAAATTTATTTTTTATTTAATTTAATTTAATTTCGTTTTATTAAATTTTTTGTAATACAATTTCGTTACCTCTCTCATCGCGACAGCTGTTGAAGAACGCCGCATAGTGTACGTCGGACGTATTGAGGAGGAAACCACCAAGGAAATGCTAAGGAGAAAGTTTTTGCCTTATGGCATCATCAAACAAATTTCTATTCATTATAAAGACACTGGGTAATAAAACCTATTAATATTACTTTAAACTTGTTAATGATACACATTATTTTTCAATCAGCATGAAATATGGGTTTGTCACTTACGAACGATCAAAAGACGCCTTCACAGTAATAGACAGTAGCGCACGTGATCCCGTTATCAACATGTACGATATCAGTTTCGGTGGTAGGCGTGCTTTTTGTCGTTCTTCTTATGCAGATTTAGGTTAACTATTATAAACATATCCTACAAAAGAATTATTAAATAACTCTTAATTTGATTTGCAGATAATGCTGGAATTAATACCTATCATTCGGTTGTGTTTCCCAAAGTAGAAGCACCACCTAAAGAGGAAGATTCATTTGAAGCTTTGCTGCAGAAAGTAAAAGCGAAAATGAACGCAAATAAAGCAAATTCAGCAACTAAAGCCTGACGTCAGCCATGGAAAACAAGCGCTACATATTGTCTTTCACTGCTGAATTTCACATTTTAGTCGCATCAACCTTTTTATATTTACATTCATACTTAGCTTATCGTATGCATTAATAATTCCAAATGGAACCAATGTTATATCAAAATATCATTACTTCATTTTCTACAAAAATGTGTTTGTAATTAAGTTTGTATATATATCTTCTTATGAATTGCTTAATGCATACTTATACGTACATATCATTGCTTCAATAATGCAATACAGCTAAGTACTGCTGATTACTTCTCGCCACAATGACATTAGAAGGAGATTGAACGCGCATGATATGCATTATTGGACTGAAAGTAAATATTTATGTATGCTAATTTCAAAAACAAACCAACTTGAAGGATGCGCTTTTTATGTCTCATTGTATATTGTTAACTAAAATGGAATGTGATAATGGAAGCCACAGTCATTGAAAATAATTTGAACTGCTTAAAATCAAAACAAAGGAAATACCCGCATAAGTTACTTGCTTAAATATATATGTTTGTTTGAATAGAGATAACTTAATGAATTTAACAGATATAGAGAAGAGCATGATGGTATGTATTAATTGTGAATTATTCACATTTAACAAACAACAATTTTTGTAAATTTTGTACATTTGTAAACAAGTATAAAATATAAATAAATAACATTAAACTACACTGCTACAAAGGAGTCTTGTTCAAACTATTTACAAACGTACAAATGTAAAAAAGGAAAACGGACGACGAATTAAACTGTTGATATACATTTTTATATGTAAATATAACCCTGATATTAGTTGTAATAGAACACACTTTTTAAATTTCTTAAACTCAATTTCTACCTACCTGCTTGTATTTTAGTTAAGTTAAGAAGATACGTATAATTTGTTAGTCAAATAATTTTGGAAGTGAATGTTGATGCATAGTTTGCCTTCGAATAGGCACCAATAAACAATACATAAATATGAATAAACTAAAAAATAATTGGCTTTCTAAAGAACAAGAATCTTGTTGCTTACAGAAATACTTTCAATGTTATGATTATTAAGTGATATATTTTTAAAAATTATAAAAAATCAGAAAAGTACTTGTTAAATTGCTGAGAGAGTATCCGCTAACTATGTTCGTGGTATGCCAAAAGTAAACCTACTTAATTGTTATGCAGATTTTATATTCTTCCTTTTAATAAGCTACAATTGAAAGACTAGCAAGCCATCAAAATGAATATGTTAAACACAAAAATGTGTGGCTATTTCAGATAACTGACGGCTACATAGTACATACATACATATTTATTTATATTACCCCTTTAGTTACGTTTTTTTTAATTACATCTTCTTAAATTTAAGTTTATGCGTTTGCTTTATATAGAGTTTGTGTTAAATAAACTGAAAAGGATTATCTAAAAACCAACCGAAAATTACGCATTTTTCTTTTCTCACAATATACCCTGTATGAGTCACTTCTAAATTCACGATGTAGAGAACAACGAGACGAGCAGTATGTTCTCGACTGTTATAATGCGAAGAATGAATTTTTCCGTGAGGAGTTGCTCGACTTGAGTTGCTCACGACTATTACGATTCGAGCCCAGGTAACGGTAGGTCCAGGACACCTGCTGTTTCGATGGGATCTGACCGAAGGGAGTGGGATGTTAGCTAAGTAGTTTTAAGTGTGCAGGTGAAGAGGTGGTTGGCAATCTCCATAAGCCTAACACATATGTGTATGCATTTTGGGTATGTCGGAGACAGGTCTGGATAAGTAAAAGTTCAGTCCACTGTAGTATCTAGACCCATCTGGGAATTACTTCTCATCACTGATGTTAATTCTGACTTTGAAATTTAATAGTAAATTCTTCTGTCAAACGGTATAAGAGGTCAGCGTTAATATCACCGATGACAGGTAAGTCTTAGGTGGAGTTTTATATCAGACTCATTTTTGTGAAAAGTGCAGATAGAGGGTATTAAATATAAGCCCTCGAAATGACGGTAAGATGTGATTCCAAAAACCATAAACACCATTAAAAGGAACCTAGAAACGTAAAAAAAAAATAATTCCAAAAACAATCGGAAGTGCACAGAAAATTAACCTTAGAGACGCCAAGTTCATCAGGTAACATCCGTTCATGGATTGAAAACAATACGAAAGAAAATTACGTGATACGTCAGTCGTATCAGTTGAATGGGATAAAGCGTGCGTTCACGTATGTCATAATCCGAAAAATGTGTTTTTACATGACGAGTAATACGATATCGTATGTGACGATTCGGGTCCTTATTTCGGCACTTTGAAGTGACTTTTTAGATACCCTGCACGCTTATAAGAAAACTTATTGTTTATAGCCCCAAAAAAGCTCATTTAGGAAGGAAAAGTTCCGAACTATTGATGTTTATACATATCAGAATAATTGTAATCGATTGCATCTAGGATTACGATTATTTTATTCGCAATATAAAAAATATTGAATTAAGATTGCGATAATCGTTTTTTTTAAATTACGATTTATGTAATCTTAATCTAAGTTCGTTCGATGAATGATTGTAAAATTACAATTTTTCTAATTACAATTATTTGATAAAAAATAGACTCCATAAAGTAACTGGCAGTAACTTTTATTGATATTTAATGAAAGTAGTCCTTAGATTACAGTAATCTTTATAACAAAAAAGAAGCGATTACAATTAAAGTTCATCGTATGAACTTAGATTACGATTATAGTAAACGAGATTTCAACTTTTTCAAAATTGCGATTACTGCAGTCGTAATCTATGTTCGTTCGATGAATGATTACTTTAATCGTAAACTTGCTTTTTTAGCTTTCTAGGAATACTGTAATCCTAATCGTTTAGTAAATATAATCCTTGTCGCCCAGCTCTGATACATACAGTATCGGTCATATCTATAGCACACCATTTCAAAGTGATATTGTGTGCCACTTATGTTTATTTATTTATTTTTAAGAATTTTCAATTAGAATACAGTTCTTTATCTAACAAAACCCATATAAACCCAAGTTTAAAAACTTATAGAAAACAACAAAAAAAGTGCAACAAATTTTCACCTAAATTTCAAACTTTTTTCTCGGAAGCGTTTGAATTTTTCTGAATACACAGTTTTATAACCCAATCAATTTCAGTCTGATAATGTGCAAGTTTCAAGTGGCTAAAAGTTACCGATGGGATCAACGTTTGATGAGTGAAAAGTTGCTAGGTCGGCTTTTTATGAAAATTCATATTTTGATACAGGAGGCTAGAGAAATTAAAAATGCATCGTTTTGAAAAGGATAAAGATCCTTGTTTTATGTTTTCTCGTTTATATACAATGAAAGGAAAATTTGCTAAGTCCAAAAAAAAACGCCGAAAATTCGATAAGTTCAAAATAGTACAAAACCTTTTTAATAAAGATCGAATGCCTCTGCTTTGCTTTAAACAGGCAATATGTTGTATTCAAAGTTTTGCGAAATACTTGAAGAAAATGGCTTTAAGAAGTTTTTTCCTCTCCTGAACAACTTTTGAATTAGGACTTAACGACTTTTCACTCTAAGCTAGCGATATGTATGTATGTACCGACCTTCCAAGCGAAAAAACCTACCAATTTTGGCTACAAAAGCCCTAAAATGGCAGCACTCTGCATACGTAGTAAATTTGAATCAATGAAATTTCCGCGTAATTTCTGTTTAACATGCACCTAATTTTTTTATTACAAAAAGAGGAGCGCTGCTATTGCTATTGCGTAAATTAAGTGAATTAAGAGACGAGCGATTTGTGTTTCGGGCAGGCGCAGTAGACATGTAGGTACATACATATGTATGTATGTAATTTACGTGTCGTCCCTATCACTTAAAATTTCCTATATGACAATTTACAAATTTTATAGAGGTAAACAATTTTTTAATTCACGCTACATTCAAGAAAAGATAGATATGTATGTATATACTTATAAAGATATTAAAATTAAATAATAAAAAAATTAATAGTCAAAATTTGTCAATATGTGGGTGTCAAAAAGTTATTAATATCAGCGCATTCATCCTTCGAGTACCATGATCTACATATGCCATGTCCGGCGAACTTTTATACATACACGTGCCATTATTTACAAAGAATTATTCAATGTAGCCATGAGTGCCAAAAAGATGTCATGACTTATCACCGTTCTCGGAGACATTGACACTTAAATCGTTAAAAGAATAAAAATCTAATTAATCGTCTTTTAAATGCCTCTGTGTAAATAGTAAACAAATAAAGACGAAACTAAAGTTAGTTGCAGCTTGTTGACATAATTATCAATGTAATATCAGCCAAAAAAGCTGCTACTAAATTTGGAGTCGACTTAGGGCCATTTTCTAATGTAAGCAGTAAAGTTGCCTTCACTAACAGGGCAGATAAATTGTTCCTCACTTTAAAGTGTTTTGGTTTTCTTATCTTACCGGTAAAAATAAATTTTTTATTCCGTAGAGTGAAACTTCACTACATTCGTCATATAATTTCAAAGGTTGGCAATGCAACATAAGCAAATATAGAGCAAGAGCAACTGTTAGCAAAAACCAAAACCTTGGTTGAAATATCTAATATATGTAGCTGGCTCATGAACCAAAACCAAACCAAAATTTAAAGTTGGGTACAAATTTTAAAGGTTGCATCGGGTGAGCAACAGTTTATCGATTCGAGAAATTAATACGCTGATGAGAAAACGAAAACTTGTATATCGAGACGATAAAGTGGCTGGTAAACTAAAGGTTAGATGGGAAAACGGCCCTTAATTTCGACTATGAATATGCCTCAATATCTTCACCAATAACTTTTAGTTTAGCATAAAAAGTGCGAATGAGATCTTCGCATCATAACTATAAAAGTTTTATAAGAGCCTCGAGGCTTAAGGTTCAAATCATTGAATTGCTGGTGCATATCCGTAAAAACCACCAATTTTGCAAGCCACGTATAAGCCACAAACCATCGTTTATTTAATGCCTGCGAAGATATGAGGTTCATTAGTTTTGAGAACTACGCCCATTAACTATATCACCAAGGGAGGCATTAGAACTCAAGAATCGAATGTATTATGTGGAACTTGTTGGTCACTGTCTGCCAAAAAGGCTCTTCCGACCTGTTTTCGGGGGTTTGGGTAGATCTTGATTTGAGCTCCAATTTAAACGTAAAAAAAGAAATTGTGTCGATTAGGTAGTAAATACTAGTGCTAGTAATTGAGGAATTGAATTCACAATTAATCCTGTGCCCAAATTATTTTGTTGCGTGCCATCTATGGCACGCGTACCTTAGGTTCGCCAGGCCTGATCTGTGCTATAGTTACCGTTGTTTTTATGAAAGCTCTCATCAATGTGGCAACAATCACCCGACTGAAACAACATTCATATGTATGTATCTGTGGTCATAAGCAATAACCGCCTAAGTCGAAAACCTGAAATCGAGAAAAAGCGTTTTAAACATTTGGATCATAATGGTATCCTTATGGGTAAACCAAAATATGTTCGCCTATAACTTTTTAAATAGCCCAGCTGGCGCGATGGGGATTTCACATACACATGGCATAGTAGTTGCAGAATACGATAGCATTCTCAATTCTTTCTTAAGTCGACTTATGCGGTTATTGCTTATGACCACAAACATATGACTTATGTGTCGTGTTTCATCCCTTTTGGCCGAATGTTTCGAGAGAAGTGTATCGAAGGATTGTTGTTCGTTGATTCGTCGTCAAATGAAATCATTCCGTTGTAAACATTCGACGCGTGTGCTTCAGGAACGGTGTGTTGCTAATATTAATGTAATGAAAACGCATATTGATACATACATACATATGTACATATAGTTAGGGGCAAAGCAATAATAAATACATATGTTTTATATAGCGTATGTACAAGTGTCAAAATAGCCGGTATAACTTGTGGAGTGCAGTGAACGAAACTTAATCGTTACTAGTTAATACAAATATGTATATGTAAATATAAATACGTTCATATGTATGTACATGATTGCATCTACATATCTACTGTATGTATGTACTCCATCCTTACGAACATGCATACTAATTTGTGAAGATGCTTTATAAAAATATGTACACGCGTGCGGGAAATAAAAGCCCTGCTGCAATATAGGCGAAAATTGTATCGAAGAAAAAAGTTATTAGAAATAATATTACACATTTGTACTGCATTTCACTTTACTTGTTAATGCCTAAATTAATGAGCAAAAAGCAGGGACCATAATGGGTATGATCGAACGAAAACGAAAATCATAATTTAACCGTTAAAATTAGACCTTTATTTTTCCGATCAAATATAACCCTTATTTCAAGACTTTTGTTGTTTTCGAACAATAATAATCGTAATTTTTAGATTTTTATTTTTCGATAAATTTTTGGTGTTTTTTTTTTTCGATCATAAACGATTTAAGTTCAT